ATAAATCCGTGTCATATTGTATTAAGTGGAATTGCTGAAAATATACATCGAAATTAAATACATACTTAAATTAACAATAGGTGAGGGAGAAGAATGAAATTAGTTTGCAAATCAATTTAGGCCAAATTAATTTCGTACAAGACTTATTGACATTTCCAATAAAAAAATATAAGGCGATTTCTGCGTACGGTTTCGGGGACGGACGTTGAAAATGGAACGGTCCAATTGAAACGAAATCGCGTAAAGTTAGCGTATACAATACTATGGCTATGTTTAACATAATATGTTATGTCTTAATAATTTGAGTTTGCTTTGGTAGAACATTTGGTAAGTGGTGTGAAAAGACTGCTTGATCTGGGTTATAAACAACAAAAAAAAAAGACTATATTCGGCTAACAAACAAACCTCAGTAAGCTGTGTTTTAACACGAAATATGTATAAATATAAGTTATAAAAATAAAACCAAATGCATTATCACTACACCAAAAAAAATGATAACCTGACAAAAAAAAAAGTTTCTTGATGTTTTTTTTTTGGTTAGAATTCAATTGGTTTCCCTCATCATGGCGAGGCTTTTATTTCTCTGATCAGGCTACTTATAGACTTATTCGAATATCATTTCCTAAAAAAATCAGATCTAAGATAATTAACACAAATTAACTTTAATCTAATATAGGGTTAAAGCGATTGACATGCGGTTTACTGTACATTAACAAAAAAATTTGCTACTAATGAATATTAGTATAGAACTAACCGCAGAATAAGATATTCGCATTTGTTATACAGCAGTAATAATATGTGTAAATATACAGAAACTGTCAACCAACTGGACTGGTCTCTAAAATTTCGTTCGTAAAAAAAAAACTCGATTTATGGAAAATGATAAATTGTGCATCAACATTAATAAATTATATTTATATAATATACTATGAATTGTTTTGACTCATAAGGCTTATGGATTACTGCTTAACTGAGCAAAGTTCCGACTTCATCGTATTCCGAAATAGACAGCTGATGGATATAGATGCGGAACGTGCAATTGATTTTGTGACTAATTCAAGAAATGGCAATTAAAGATGTGTTCATAAAAATACAAGTAATCACAGAAGGTTAATTAATTGCATTCAATGACGACCTCCTTACGAAACGTCAGTTAAAATATACGCATATTGATTAAAAATATATATTTAAATAAGTTATCTTAAATTATTTAACTTATATCGATTCTAAATAGATATAATTTATTATATTCCTATTTGGCTTTTGACACGAGCATAAATTTTTTTGCATAACTGATTTTTCGACATAATATATTACGTCATTAGATAATATATCACTAGAGAATTTTGTTAAATTTAAAAATTACACATGCCCAGTCTCTGATATCGTGCAAAATTGATTTCGCATAAAGTAAATAATTGAAAAGCATTTCCTAAGAGACAGGCGCACAATTCCGTTGTTTACTTGTCTATAGAAACCAATAAAAGGGTAAAGGTGGCCTTAAAACTGTGCTGATCTATGTCAGTAATAATGATCTTTACTTACTATGTTAGTAAGCGTATTAGAGATGATTGGTGCATAAAAACAATTATGGCAACACCTTCACATAAACGTCAGTTATATTTTAAGGAAAAATCAATAATATATATTTAATTTTCGGTATTTTAGTCTGCACATACAGTACAATAGAGGCCGAGTGAACAATTCCAATGCAAGTATATCGCACCTTTAGAATTAAAGGGAACTAATTATGAAAATCATGACTTTGGCTTTATGTCAGGAAACGACCTGAAACGACCACCATTATCGAATCCTATTAAAACATGGGAACAATTTTAGAAAGCAACATAACGTATACTTCTGTATCTTTCACTTTTCCCCCAATTAGTGCGTCTGTTCATAAGTTCCACAAATCCATATTTTACGTTTCCCAAAAATAGGTCACTATAATTCTAAAGGTGCGATATACGTTACATTAAACGAAGAATACCCTAACCTAATAGTAGTCTAACTAAAGCTTAATCATGGTCACTTAAATGCAAATTAAGCATTTACATCCTATCGTTATATTAGGCTCCATTGCCTATCATATGCTTCGATGAGTTTTATTGATAAATTCATGATTATATATATATATATATAACTGAATAAGTCATGTTATCAGCAACGAATGCAATTTACTTGTTACGTGGCTAATATAGCAGTGAACAGTCCGTAAAAAAAACTCTGCACACAAAAGAAAAACTGTGAAAATCACAATAAATACTAATTTGCTGCCTCAAAAGATCAAAAACGTTGATCACAAAATCTTTTTAATTTAATAATAATAACGAGATTTCTTCGACTAGCAATACCAGATCGTACTTGAATATGGAATATTATATTAATAAAACCTCTATTATGATATTCGCGAATTAAAAGTCAATTAAATAACACTGGACTAAATAAAATGCATTTTATAACTTTAAAGTTTTTACCGTTTTATTATGTTAATTAAATTGTATAAATAAAAAACATCCCTAATGCCATAAATCAGTCAAATAATTGCTTTTGAATTAATAAAAAAAAATTATATATTATAAAAAATCTATTTAGCATATAATATGTGATGAATTTATACGTATGTAATTAACTTTTATTGCATATTTCAAAAAATAGTAACTAGGCGATCAACTCTGTAAAGTAAATTCGCATCGAATAGTGTCACGTTAAAAAGTTTTTGAAAATATTACGAGATGGCGCTTCGTATACAAGGCAGCTATCGTGCAATTTTTTTTTTGTAAAATTTATTTTTACATAGATAATTAAAAAAAAAACCTAATCTAAATACAAAGTTTAATCCTAATCGTCTTAAAGGTTCACGAAAATTTATATAATAATAATAATTTGAACGATAAAATCTTAGTTGCCAATATGGTGGTGGGTATATAAAACTAAATAAAAATAAATGCCGCGAATACTGCCTCTTTTATCAATTAATATTAAATTTATAAAAAAAAAATCCAAATTGATCAATAATGATAGAAAAATTCGAAATGTCGTATCTTTGCGTTATAGTTTTAAATAGAATGCGAGTTTATCAATAAATTATTGTTTGATTAATTCATTGTTTCAGTCGTACAAAGGAAGCAGGAGGTCATATAGTGATGAAAAGATTTGCGCGCGAAACTTAAATGCACCTTAGTGAAGTTCCCTCCGCGAGTTCTATGCGTACTGCCGAGTGCAAAAATCATAATATCGCTAACGATAATATACGATATAGATATAGGTGTTAACCTATGTTCAAGAATTTGAATAGCACAGTTGTTTGCAACTGTACACCATCGCGTTGTGGGGGCGAGATAGAAAGCGACTTGCACTACAGCACGAAAGAGTTGTTTGTTGTTTGATTGATTAAGTTATTTTTTTTTGAACTCTGCACCACAGTGCCTGGATTGAATTTCAGGTATTTTAGAGGAACATTAAAGTTTTACGAGCCCCATACAAAATGCATTTTATAAAGAGTTTGTATTATGTGTTTATCTGTTCTTTGTGTTGTTATTATAGTTCAAAAACAGCTTACTAAAGAGGAGAAAATGTTTTCCTATCCGCTCTATTTTACAACAGTGTATTTCGCTACAATTTGGAGTTTTATGAGCATAATTGATTTTTTTTTAGTTTTGAGCAAAAATGAACAGTACAGTAGCCTTTTTAAAATTATGTGTAAAAAGAATCTGTTTTATACAATAAAAAAAGTTTCTAATTCTAACTCGATACTGAGAGATAATTGGGAAGAGTTCTTATACTTTGAATAAATTCTGTAACACTCATTGTAACATATCCCTCACACATACACACACACACACACACACACACACTGAATTTTTTGTAATTTCAAATGGGAGTAGACACAAAAACGATTATCACTATATCGTCCGTCTTACTATGTTTCAATGAAGGCAAATTGTCTGACCCTAGTTTAGACTTAATCTAATTGTCAACACGATTTTAGACCTTATTGCATTAGAGATAAACGCGATCGTTGCTCGGTTAGAAGTGCACTTGTTTCGAGGTATAATAACAATTCCACACAGGAATGCAATGACTTACAGACCTTATTCCTGGTAGGAATAAGATATAATTTCGATCGGCAAACCGTTGAGGCTATCAATAAGCCGGTATACATAAATCCGTCATCATCTCTCCTTAGAAACTATCTGTTTAAACCGATTTATAGCGACTTCAAAAATGCTGCGGGGTTTACATTTTACCTTTACGTTTGTGCTTAATGTAAATAACTATGTTATAGCTAAAGCGTTATACGTGAAATTAAATTTGTAACGTGTCTTGAAACCTATAAAATAAGGTTCATATTATAATCGTTAATGTTTTTAATCGTCCTTCGATCGATTCGGTAGCGATTTAGAATTCTATTACTTAGTTGTTACGGTTTAAGTTTAATTATTCGAACGTACCGCGATGCTTGAACTAAGTAAGCGTCATGTTAGGGGTCATCCATTAATTACGTGAGTACGCGGGTTCGAGACTAACCTCACACTAACTCACTGTCGGGAGGGGGAGTCTCGGCAAATATAAATTGGTATCATATACAATAGTGTAAAATAGCGAAAGGATCGGGTTGAATTGAAATAGTGAAAAGTAAAAATAAATTAAAATTTGAAAGTAAAAATGTTTCTCCAATAAAATGTGTTTAAATAATACGAAGAAAAAATTCTCAACAAACTTCTCAACTCAACGGCGCTTTTGTCGCCACTGACTCACATGAAACGTAAAGCTAATTATTATGTTTTTTTAATGGTCTGTGCCAATCGCAGCACAGATTAAATTATTAACATTAAAAATACGCATTTTGAAAAATCTCAAATGAAATTAGGAGAGGATGGGATGGAGAAAACTCTAACGACACAGATGAAAAATTAAAAAAATTGTCAAAATTACGTCACGTATGTAATGGATGCCCCCGATTGAGTTTCGACCTTAGGCCGTTGTCTTAAGGCTCATACTGAGGTGCCGACGTGTCGGTCGGTGTCCAGTGTGACGTCTTCGGGGCTGGCGAGGTCCGCTCTAAGACGGACCCCGCGGCCGGTCAGAGTCCACCTGCACGCGGCTCTCTCCGTGCTGGGCGATATTCTGTAATCATGCATCGATGACCGCTATGTACCAGTTGGATTATTTTTTAAAATGAAATAGATTAACTTATTTTTAATATAAGTTTTCTCCTTATAAAATACTTCTAAATTGAAAACCGTTATGGCACAAGGAACAAACAAGTTTACAAACTCATGATTTTGTATGTGAAAACTGAAGTTAAGTGATAATTCCGCCTATAGACATTTTGTATTTGTGATAATACCTTTGCAGTTGCACCACAGAGTCATCAAACGAGCTTTACACGCCAAATGAAACGTAAAATAATTCCACTACAAGTCAGTCTTCCGATAGAACATGGTTCTTCCTCGGGCGAGCGGGCCTATACAGTAGAAGCGGCCGCATGTTAAAGAAAAATGAAAGAAGAAAATTTGTGGAATGTAGAATAATTAAAGAAGTTTTTCGCCGGCGTGGTTATCAGAATTTATAAGTGCAGAGGTTAGCAATATGAACGCATGCGTTCACCGATAGTTCTGACATGCATAGGGGCTAGTGAAAATGCTCCTTGCGCTTTTTGGACCGCACGTTAGTCAAGGGGTTGTTACGCATGTGAACATGCGTCCGTTGACCGATTGGTCTGACCTGCATAGAGGCTAAGTAAAGTGCTCCACGTGTTTGTTGGACCATACGTTATTGAAGGGGGTATCACGCATGTGGACATGCGTTCGTTGACCGATTGGTCTGACCTGCATAGAGGCTAAGTAAAGTGCTCCACGCGCTTGTTGGACCATACGTTATTAAAGGGGGTAGCACGCATGTGGACATGCGTGCGTCGACTGACCAATCGGCCTGACCTGCAGAGGCTGGTGTCGGCGTCGCGGGGCTCCCGGGGCGGAGTCTCCTCTTCGGGGGAGCCCGAGCTGCTCGCCGTACTGCTCGCCGAGCTGCCGCCGCCGCGGTACCGCTCCACGCCCTCTGCCAAGTATTCATGAAGATACATAATTATTCCAATAACAATAACACACTAATAAACATCGAAATATTTAGGCTACTTCCAACCGTCGAGCAACAGAAAAATAGGATAGAACTCCCTTGACCCATTAACAACGCCAACAAATCTGATATAATTATAGTATATGTACATGTGATTTTTTTTTACATTTAGTTATTGTATGAATTTATAATGAATTTATTGCAATAAAATTTAAAGGTATAAGCTTGTTAGTTGATAAGAAATTATAATTAAAAGACATAAATAAGAATAATTCGGATCGAAACTCACCGCGTCTCTCCTCGCTGTCCGGTGCATCCTCCAAAATGCGAAGTATTTCGGCGCACAGTTCCGAGTCCAAAGGCACAGGATTATCAGATTCCCTGATGGGTAACATAATATTTTTAATTTTTTTTAAAATCAAGTGTTTTAACACCCATTTAGAAGCATCCACGCGGCTTTAACTTTAACACGGTACTTGACAACCCTTTTTTATGCGTATATACTAATATAATAAGCTGTAGAGTTTGTTTGAATGTATTAATCTATGGAACTTCTCGTCCGATTTGAAAAAATCTTTTTGCACATGCGAGCCTAATTCTTCAGGAAGGTCACAGGGTACTTCGCACCAACCACTATAATTCATGTTTGATAGAACGCCAAAGATCCTTGCAGAAGAATACAAATCCTTCGTGAAACCATTAATTGTCGTGGAAATTAAAAACAACCAAATTTCAATACAATAAAGGGCTGGCTGCTACCATCAGCACAAATCCCAGTCTTTATAAATCTAGGTCACAACGAACCACTGATGCAAAATAAGACTTAATTAGCACCTTCTGCGTACAGTGACCTGACGAAACTAGACGAGTGACTTATCACTTTACACTACGCTGAGCACGCGTCGTTCATATTTGCTCGCGATGAGGTGACCCGTGACGTGTCGTGACTCACAAAGCGGATACTTTCCCCGCTACGCTGTGTCGCCGTACAGTGACGTGACCCGACGATCCTTTGACGAGGATCAATATAATATGCGACACTGAGCGCGTGTCGTCCGAGGTTGCCCGCGATGACGTGACCCGTGGCGTGACGTGACGCAAGAGGCCGGTACCTCCCCGGACGCTGGGAACGGAAGCTCGCGTCGACCGACAGTGACACATCACGTGACAGAGCGCGTCGCCCGAAGTTGCCCGCGATGACGTGTCGCGTGACGCGTCGTGACGCACCTGTTGTGCAGCACCAGCGCCACGGTGGCCGGGTGCGGCACCGGCGGCTGCGGCGGCGCGCGCGGGTTGAACGCGCCCACGTCCAGAGTGGGCGGCGGGACGCGCGGCGCGGGCGTGCCGCCCCACTCGCCCCACATGCCGGCGCCGCTCCCGCCTGCGACACACGGACGCCGCGATCAGCGGATGTTCGGCCGCGACCGCGATACGCACGGTCCATAAATATTCCATGTAGTCATGAATGGAACAATGGCGATATAAGCAGTGCAGATTATATTCAAAGACCGTCAATGAAAGCGTCGTTTGATACACTAAAAAAAAAGGGCTAAAGGTGAAATAAAATATTTTTTGTTTCATTGATCGAACGCCACTCCCTGATGTTCTAAGGGTAAGTGTGCCACGAGCGCAAGTTCTTCGAGTGTGACAGAGAGAGACAAGGCCACGCTAGCTGCGTCCCCTCCGCCAACAGCGCACGCCCTTCGAGTGAGACAGGGACACGCAAGCTCCGTAGCGATCGCCACCAGAGCACGCCCTTCGAGAGCGACAGAGAGAGGCAGGTGTCAAGGTAGGTCCGTCCCGCTCGCGCACCGGTGTGGCGCCAGTCGTCGCGCTCGGCGAGCACGTCGGGCGGGGCGTGGTCGCGGCCGCAGCGCGTCGCCCACGCGCGCGCCCCCTCGCCGCTCTCCAGCGGCAGCCGCGCCTCGCCCTCGCCCAGCGCCACCAGGATCTCCGCGTCGAACACCTGCCGCAACGGAGAGCGATTGCTATTCATTGTCATCTACCGATTGTTTCGTTGAGTAACTGTTCGTGTAACGTTGTGACATTTCAACGAAACGGCCCGCCGTACGAGTCTGACGTTGTGTGGATTGTTAAATCAAATTTGCAGTAGTAGAACAACTCCAAAAAATTTTGAAATACATTCTGTTTGACTTTTGGTTGACAGATGGCGCTGAAACTATTCTAACTCGCGGTAAAGTTGTAGTGGCAAGTATGATTCCAAAATGACCGCGTCAATATAATGTATGCGGTATAAAAATCGAGAAGACGTTTTGTTATGAAACATGTATTCTTGTGCGAGTGCTGTACAGATAAAATGCAGCTTTTATCACCGATACCTTGACGAGTTGTTCCACTCCCTGAACGTGCATTTTACGAGCGACGAGGCGAAACTCGCAGCTCGATTCCTCTGACAGGAACGACAACTCAACGGAGTAATTGTTAGGAATGAAATGAGGGGTTGGGGTAGAAGTAGGGTTGTTACCTCGACTAGTGTGTTGGCGGCGAGAGCGTGCCAGTCGCCCGGCTCGAGGCCCCTCGCGCTCCACCACTCGTCGCCCTTTCCCGCCCACTGCCTCGACAGCTCGTGGGCGCATGCCTGCACCGCTTTCTGCACACATTTATTTATTCATACGTTGATACTTCATTACTGTATACTAACATCTAGTGGTGTTCATTGTCTCGCATTTATTGCTGTTTTAATGGTCCGGACAGACCTATCACGTTCAAGCATATTAACACATATTATGTTTTATGAAACGTGGATAGCGGCCATCAGCATCATCCTCCTGCCATTATCCCACGTAAAGGGGTGTCGGCACCACACGTCAATTATGTTCTTAATGGTATTGGCTATGGTTTAACGATCAGCCCGATCCGGAATTATCTGTGCGTATAATGCTTCCCATGTGGGAATCGAACCCACGACCTCCAACGCCGGAGCCAATGGCTTAGTAACCACCGTACTATCGTATTTATTTAATACTAATACCGCGCTAAGCCTACGCTCCAAAGGCTTTAGAAAGAGACAGAGAGCGCACCGCCGCGAATCGAACGGTGGGTGACGCACTCGCCCTATAAAAGTCCGCGTAATATTGGCGACGCACCCTCAGGTCGGGCGCGGCCATCCGCACGCGCGCCCTCGCCCCGTCGGCCAACCCCAGCGCCAGCTCCCGCCTCCTCGCCGCCAGCTTCTCGCGCACCGACATCACTAGCTCGCCGCACTCCTTCTCCAACTGCTTATAAGCGCCGGTCTGGGGGAAGACTGCCGTTGAGATCGCATGCACTTAAACACTCGCCTCGAAGAAATTTATTTGTTTGGTTACTGTTTATTGTGGTAGGACCACGCAACAGTTTTCGATTACACGAATGGGCAGGTCCGTCCGGGGAAGAACCGCGACCTCGCAGAAGACCGGCATGAAGTGCAATACTTCTGCGTTTCGTATGGTGAGTGAGGTAGCCGGGGCACACTTTATTAAAAGGTGGCAACGCATCTGCAATCCTACGGGTGTTGCAAATGTCGATGGGTGTCGGTTATCACTTAACATCTGGTGTACCGCCAGCTCGTTTGCCACCTTCTCACCTAAAAATACGTGTGTAACGACAGCATCAGTTATCACACATAAGCATGAAACAAGTACTCAAACACATACACAAATAAAATATAGTGGAGACATATAGATACAAGCATTCTTATATAAATATATTGTATATGTTATATATTAATAACGACGTCCGCTGTAAGGAAATACACCCACCCATAACATCGCGTGATGTTCTATGTCCTAATACCCTCCGTACAGAGGAGGCCTTTGCCCAGCAGTGGGGCGTACATAAGTCAATTACCTTAGCGATCTGCACGGAGAAGGGCCCGAAGCAGGCGTCCACGAAGTGCGCGTAGTCCCTGAGGGGGCGCTCGATCATATTCTCCATCTCGCTCCCCCACTCCGACAGCGCCTCGAGCTCGGCGCGCGCGCACACCGCGGCCAGCGCCTGCGCCGCCCTGCACACGCAACGTTCGACACGTATACTTCTCCTGCTCATCTCTTAGGGGATAGAGAGGGATGCGATAGCGCTGTACACGTTTCAACTACTCGGTGGCGTATGTGATTAGCTGTTGGCTTCGGCGTTTAGGGTCTTGGGTGCGTTTACTCAGGACAAGTATTTGTGTGACACACATGATTGTTCCGGATCTGATTGTTTCTTCCCAAGGAATTAAAGTGACGTCCCCACCTAAGTGGAATACGGGCACGGTCATTATCAACCGATGATGACCGCTATCGTCGTTGCATCAAACGTATCATGGCCTGAACGTGATAGCTTCGCCCAGACCGTAAACCCAGGGACAAATGCGGGATAACGCACACCACTATAGCTAGACTTATAGGTTTGGTATAGACGAGAGTTCCTTCATTAGATAAATATCTTCGTTCTTTTAAATTCGTGAATCCTCGAGTGTGCTCTTAAGTTTCCAAATGACCGTTTTTGGTAAATAAATGTATAAAAAAGAAACCATAATCATCATTATCATTTGTTATCATATTCCACTGCTGCTGGCTATTTTAGTCTATGGGTGAATATCAGTCTCTTATCATCATCACCTGTTACATATCATCAACCATTCACAATTCACTTACATTGACTTAGTCGCGTAGTGACTGGCCAGTGAATAATAATTAAAAAAAAAAAAAGAACCCAGCAATCATGCACTGGCCAGTTGCCAATAAAAAAGAAACTCTTACGTAATCTGGTAGGAGGCGCGCGAGTGCAGGCCGGGCCCGGCGACGCGGCGGCAGAAGGCCGAGTCGTGCGCCGGCACCCGGGCGGCGCGCACGATCACCGCGCGCCACGCGCACGCCTCCCACACGCCGCGCCCCGCCCACCAGCTCACGCCGCCTGCACGCGGGAGTTATAATAATAGTAATATATTTTTATTTATAATTGTTCGCAAAGCGCCTATCTAAATCATCGCTGCAACTCGCATTACCTAATTTGCATGCTGTTACATTATGTACAATTGTCAACTTACATAAGTTAGTAGGTAGTTTATTTTTTAACATTCATTGTGTTACCGCTCTGTGACTAACCACATTACAAGTCTTGCAAAGCTTCTGAAATATTTTTATTTTAACTAAATTACCTGATCTATTTCCCAATCAATAATATTTATGTTATATATGCAATATATATCTATGTGTATAGACGAGAAAACAGCTAAATATCCCCGAGAATAATAGATCTTTTTTTGGTCTAATATTAAAAAATAATGTACAATTGTAAATGTTATAAATTTTAACTACCAATGTCTTAAGTTTTTTTAGTTCATTTACACATGTTCATCAAATCACCAAGCAGGTCATATTATATTGTATAAAAAGGATAACTTGCCAACAAGCATGATCAGAGCACAAAGGGGACAAAGCAGCACTGCCACAAGAAGCGCAACTATCGGCTGCAGAATGCCCAGTATGCCAATGTGCCAAATCAGTATTTCGAATAACACCAGGAATCTGAAAATAAAAATTGTTCCATTTCAATAACCATTAATATTAGCAGTAAATACATTCTATTTGTTATAAGCATAAAAGTTTTTTTAAAAAGAAAAGTTGAGTTATTTTCGTTATATTTATATTATTCAGTACATAGAGTAAGATTCAGTATAATATTTGATAATCATAAGGCTTAGATTAGATTCTTAAGTCTATGGATCACCATAGTGACACAATATGTTGTATCTTTATGACATATTCTAGATCTATCTGACCAAATCCGAAGATCGAAAAGAGCTAATAGAACTAGTTCAGAGCGCTCTTCTAAAGGACCGAGCACAAGACTAGAGGGGGGAGAATAGAATATTAGAGTACAAAGATGACTGATGGACGACGAGCATGCGATGCGAGAGGAAACGGAAGGTATAGAGACCTGTCGAGGTGCGGGCGCGGGCTTGTAGAATATTAGAGTACAAACGGAGGGGTCACCGACCTATTGAGGTGCGGGCGCGGGCAGTCGAGGTCGTAGAGCAGCGCGTTGGCGGCGTGCATGGCGAGCGCCAGCGCGGGCGCCCAGAGCGGCACGGCCGTCGCGGCGGCCAGCGCCAGCGCGCAGCCGGCCAGCGCGCACAGCGGGAACAGCAGCAGGAGCGCCAGCGAGCCCAGCCCGCCCACCGCGCCGTAGTTCCACAGCCGGTTCGCCATCCTGCTCAGCCCCTTGCCCAGCAGCCCTGCGGGAGCGGGACGACGCCATCGGTTATGACACTAGTAACGTGTCTTACTGCTGGGTTAAGGCCTCCTGTACGGAGGATATATGGGCGTAGTCCACCACGCGATCCCGCTGCGGATTGGCAAATTTTGCATAATTTTGAAATTATTATTTTCTTCTGATTCAGGTTTGAGCACTTTCTTATTGGTGCCAGCACCGGGATTTGAATTCGATTCCACTAAGCTATCGCGGAAAGAACGCCCAGACACTAAGCTATCGCGGCTTACTACACTTCAATCTGTATTATGATGAGCCATAATAAAAAAAAAAACTAGATTCCCAGATGAGTGCTTTTTATAAAATACTAGTATATAACATACTCGCAAACTAATTGAGCTCGATACTCATTTAGCATTTTTTGTGGTCTTGCCTATACGGGCAATTGGTGATGGCCGCGTAGCCAAGTAAGGGATGGCCCTGTGGTCAAATGAATGATGACCTTGTGGCCAAATGAGCGTTGGCCCTGTGGCCAAATGTGGCCAAATGGGTGACGGCCGTGTTGCCAGTGGCACCCACCCGTGTCCGGCTCGGTCTCGAACCGCGTCCGCTCCTTAGACACGTGCCGCCAGAGCTGCAGCAGCCGCGACCACATCGTGTGCGTCTCGCTGCTTCGCTTCGGGAACAGCGTACCGTTCACCTGCGAATCGAGGGGGATATTATCTAATTAATTAGTCTTATTATATATATTAGTATTATCTAATTAGTTAGTATTATTATCTGTTTAGTGGACATGGACCGACTCGCAAATCAATATCTAATCAATAGTCTACTCTTACAGTGTGCGTACGTTTCGTCCAATCATTGTCATTAAGTACTCGATGTTTATATATAAATATTTAGCTGTGTATAAATATTTAGCCAAAAAAATCGAAAAGTAGCCTATGTATTGATTTAATTGTAATTCAAAGCTATTGTAAAGGTGTCTTTTTATATACTTACTACTATGCTAAGCCACAGCGAAGCGTCGAGTTCGGCTAGTATACCATGAAAGTCGTATCTCTTTGCTAAACGTCTGAATTGAGATATACGTGGAAATATAAAGGATAATGGACCACTCGGCTGCATTAAACAGTGGTCTCATTTATGAAATCAGCAAATAACTCGTATAACTTATGAGTCCAAAGGCAGCATTTGTCACTTTCTACACTTAAGTAATACAGTATTCATAGCTTCAATTTTTTTTTTCTTTCTCATGAATAAGTGCCAGCACCAACCTGCGAGAGCTCGTAGTCGGTGACGAACGGCTTGACCTGCAGCAAAGTGCGCAGAGAGATCGGCGAGTACCAGGGCACCATAACGCCCAGCAGAAACATCATGTTCCAGCTCCAGCACCAGGTCCTGGTGATTATCGGATAATGCTAAATCTCATTAATTATGGGTATTCAAGGGCAATAGGGCTCATTAATTATAGTATTTCAAGTTTGGGGCACACATTATTAAAAGGTGGCAACCCTACGGGCGTTGCAAACGTCCGCGGGCGGCGTTTATCACTTAACGTCCGGTGAACCGCCAGCTCGTTTGCCACTTTCTCACTAAAAAAAAAAAGAAAAAAACAAGAAAATGGGTGACGTCACCTGTGCGCCAGGTTGAGCAGCCGCCAGGCGGGCCAGCGCGTGTGCGTGGCGCGCGTGCGCTCGCGCCGCAGCAGGAACACCGGCTGCGAGGGGTCCGAGCGCGGCGTCACTATCGAGGTGGCGCGCGCGCTCAGCACCGTGGGCACGCGCTCGCTGCGCCCGCGGAAGTGCCGCACCACGGTCCAGTTGCGCGCCGACCAGATGCGCGTCGCCCACGAGAACTCGCGCGTCGGCGTCTGCGCAGCGCGCAGCTCCTGCGCGCGCAGGGGGGCGGGGTTACGTGACGTCACGCGCTCGACGGCCGACGCGACGTGGCGCATGTGTGTTTTTTGCCAGCGGCTTTACGCGCCACGCACGTAACGCTAGCCGACAGCTTTTTTGTAAATGGTAGTGCTTGCCTTAATACGCGTCAACAGTTGGATATAAGTATGTCAATATGGTCATAACATGGTGGATATCATTACAGTATATTCTGCTATAATAATTTCCTGTTTTTCATTACCCAAACTTTATTTTTCTTATTTTCACCTCTATATCTCAAGCTCATTAAAGGTTTTCCATGTATACACCATACAAAATTGGTATTCAATGGACGATATCTTTTTATAGGTGTTACAATAATAACCGTGCAATCCACAACTTCAGTGAAGTCTGAAGCGGCAATTCGAACCTTAATAGTTATATTATAAATAGATTCAGTAAGTTGTAAAATTACTGTATTCGGCAACACTGAGTTGTAGCTCCAGTGCCGGCTAAAAAATCTGCTAATTAGTCATATTCCAAGCGCCGATGAACGAAAAGAAAACTTCAATGGGAAATTAAAACTATACTATCAAGGATGATATGTCTCCCATGAAGAGCCAAATGTCGCTAGCGTGCGGCACATCAAAGGGCTAGCGCGAGGCGGCACATCAAAGCGACAAAGAAGTAGAGCGGCGTGCCTTCAGCAGCAGGGGCTCGCGGTCGCGCAGGAAGGCGAGGTCGCGCAGCAGGAAGTAGCGGTGCTGGTGCAGCTTCTGCGCCTGCATCGCCGCCGCCGCGTCCTCCAGGGGCGCCCAGCTCAGCTCCGCCTGCAGACGGCGCGCGGCCGCCGCGAGCCGCTCGCGCCGCCACGCGGCCCCGCGCGCCAGCACCGGGTGGGCGGCCCTGATGCGCGCCTCCGCCGTCGCCAGACCCGCCTCCATTTTGCGACGCACCCCCTCCTTCGCCCTGTGCGCCACACCGCTTTTTTTTGAGATGTAAACGGTTGTCAAGCTATGTTTAGTGATTACCGCAGCCCATCAAACGTTTACGACAACCGATGGCTTGCATATGCGTTGCATCTTTATAAAAGTGTGCTAACTTTCCAGTGTTAGGGCTGGCAACAGCGGCGGTGATAACTTAACATCGGGTGAACCACTTGCTAACTTGACAAATTTTCACATAAAAAAGGCCATTCGGTCTATTGCTAACAATGAAGTCAATTATCGGTAGAAATCCAGATATTGCAGTGCTATATGTAATTTTTAGATGTGAGAGAGTTAAGAGAACTTTATTCTTGCAAAAACGTCACATTCACCAAAAATAATAATGAACCGTACAGAGTCGCTAAATGTTATTAATACATCAGCAACACATAATATAATATATGTATGGTTATATGTTATAACTGCATAGAAACAATCAGACGTAGATGTACCGTAAAGCGATAATTATAGAGGAACTTTAGCGCGCCTTGGGGCACACCCGAACGTAACTTAGGACGATGGATTAAATATAGACCATTCGGCCATAGCCATAGGGTTCAGTTTGACCTGTCGAGCAGCACGGAGGCGCGCAGCTGGTCGGCGAGTAGCTCCGGCACGCCGGGGCCCAGCGCCCGCAGCGGCTCGCTCTCCATGACGGCGTTGCACACGCGCGACACGTACTCGCGCATCGCCGCCGCGCGCACCTCCTGCCACACGGTGCACAGTGTACGGCGTGTTGTACACGCCGTATGGTGTTGTACGCAGTGGACGCAACGAGCCCCGAACACGGGGGACGGTGCCAGCAATGCAACAAAAGGGATGTATAATGGTGCAGACTGTGGCAATTGATATACCCAAGTACCAGTATTGCACACTATTGTATAAATATGGGACAGTCTACCAGGCAATGACAAAATGACATACATTCATTCAATACTGTATCCATTCTAGTACGTGAAAGTGGTGTAACTTGGCCTATAATTTATGAAAGCTTTGAAAGGCAGTTGCTTGTAATTTATGAAATATCTCCTACTTTGTAGTAGTCAGCTTTTAACATGGTCGGAGAAAATATGAGCACATCATAGGTTATAGCTTAAATAACATGTACGGTTAAACTACTCCTTTTCACTTATTATCAATAAAAGCAATGTTGACGAGCTAATTAATGCCAATTTTCACAGTAGCAACTAGTAATTATGGTTAAATAAATATACTTGTTTATTAATGACTCATCCCCCATGTTCTTTTTTAAATTACACATACATAAATATATAAAATTTGGAATCATAAGCAAATGTTAAAAAGTTATCAGTTACATGGTAACACTTTGAAAATAATGAAGTCGGTGTCGTTTTATGGCGTCGCGGATAGTAATAAACAACTCTCATCGTTACTAAACCATACAACGGACCGCGACTAAAACAATCTACGTAGGGCACCTTCTGTTCCGCAAGGAAGTATGTCCACAAAAGGGAGCGCGGCAAAAGCGAACCAGCCCCCACCTCCTCGATGTCCCTCAGGGGCACCTTCTGTCCGGCGAGGTGCGCGGCGCGCCGCTCGCGGAAGTGCAGGAACCAGCCGCGCGACTCGCGCTCCAGGATGCGCTGCAGCGGCGCGGCCGCGCGGCGCAGCAGCTCGCGCCGGTGCAGCCGCAGGTCGACGCGCGTGCGCTGCGGCGTGCCGTACGCGCACGGCACGGGCGGCGCGCCGCGCACTGCCGCGCGCACGTCGCGCTTCTCGCTCGCCGCGCGCCGCATCGCGCGCCCCACCCACGCGGCCAGCGCGGCGATGTCCTCGCGCTGCTCCGGCTGTAGGGGAGGGTTGACTCAGGGACAAGGGTGCACTACTAACTGCTGCTCCGCGGAGGGCTCGAGAGGGGTCCATTTGGCTGTATCGGGTGTCTAAGCACCCGGGCAGAGGAGGCCTGCGAAAGTCACAGTCGCGCCGGGGTTCGCGGAAGATTGCATTTTCGTGTTCCCGTGTCCCCGGCAAAGCGATAGCGCAGGTAGGTGCAACGTGGGTTTTTTAGTGGGTACCCCGTAACTCCCACATACCCCTGTTGCCTACCCACAAGGCGGCGGGGGATCCATAAAGGATTTTTCCCACGTAAAAAAAAAAAAGGGACCAGGGTGCACGCTCCCGCGATTCGGCCCATACAACCACGAGGTTGGTGGGGCCATGGGAGGATGCTAAGGTGCAGATGCGTTGCCACCTCTTAACAAAGTTGGCTACCTCACTCATCAGACGGAACGCAGAAGTGCAACACTTCTACTTAACGTCGGTCTTCTGTGAAATTGCGCACGTACCTGCCCATTCGCGCAACAGCGAACACTGTTGCGTGGCCCTACCACCTATAAAATCGTATCGTTCGGTGAGTGACATAACCGGAGCCCACTTTATCAAAACGTATGTCGCGAATGTCCATGAGCGGCGATTATCACTTAACGTCGGGTGAACCGTCAGCTCGCTTGCCACCCCCTCATGTAAAAAAGAAATAGCTTCTGGGCTTAGACACGGCGCTGTAGCCCTTGGGGGTCGTGGCCTTAATGTCAGTTTTAGATTCCTGCTGCGCTTATCACAGCGCTCACGCTTAGTAGGCCATGGAAAGCATGGACTTAAGGTAATGGCGGTTTTTAGATCACAGCATGGCTTAGTCCAACTTGAGGTTTATGGACCATTGAGAAGTGTAATCCAGGGACCCCTCTCTAAACGGACTTCCGCCTTGTCGCGGCAGATTTAGGCGGTACTAAAAGAGAGCAAGAGACTTAGGCCCGTTCCGTCGGTGGGGGGTTCGATGCTTGTTAGGCATCGCAGGAACTGAGTCCTCTTTCTTTTGGATTGGGTTAACCAGACCGAATATAGAAGCGCGCTTTACGCATGTGCACGCATACGTACCTTGGCAAAAACATAGATAATTGACCAGCAGACGTAGTGATACGTTCTCTATGATAGCACGTGCTGGTTGAAAAAAAAAAAAAGGTGTCAGAGAGCGACAAACCGTTCCAGACAGGTTTGGAAGGCAATGGGGACAGATTAATTACATTGATTGAGAGAGATTTGAGATGCCGAGCAATCGAAAAAATTACTCAATGTGTTCAAATCATATTTTTAAACAGTCGTAATTGAACCCAGCGCAAGATAGGGTGTCTCGGAAACTATTTAAATACGGCAGCAAAGCTTTTAAGAGGCAGTCGTTACCAACTCACCTTACAGATGAGCTCCGCAACCAGATACCTGGACCTCTCTTCGCGGATTTTCTTCTCGAGGTCCCGTGCCTCCAGCGAAGGCATCCCGATTAGTACGTCTAATAGTCTGGAAAATCGAAAAGACCATAGAATAAACAACCATCGGTTACCAATTCATTGTATCGCAAAAAAAAAGTATTGTAAAGTCTTTTCTTGAAGGGCATACTACGTACCTGTGCAAGCCCCTTAAGAGTGCCTTTCCTCCGGCTATCACGGACAACGGCTCGTCCCTCGTCAGCCGATCCCTTGCCACGACCACGAGCAGCGCGACGGCCCTTGCCACGTGGCAGTACAGCTCCTCCCTGGCGCGCGCCCTGCCACGCTGCAGCCACCCTGCCACGCGCCACACGTGACACTGGCCGGGGAAATGGCGCGACGGTACCTCGAACTCGCTAATGCAGCGAAAATTCAACGTATTTTACACACAAGTCTTTTAGATTTTGCTCTAAAAACATTCAAAAAGTTAGAGGATCGATCTAAGGTCCAACAGTAAGATTATGAAGGAGAAATTGAGGAGATAAGAGAGTAATTAAAGAGGAAAGTCCAGTCGTGTATAAGAAGGAATTATTTGAACATATTTACCATACAAAAGTAGTAATGCAAGGTAAAAGATTAAAACTGATCGTTTCTAAACCCAAATTCGTACCTGTATGTCTAAGACAACACCAATCATGCCTTGGTAAATTAGTGATAATATGGACACCTTATGACATTACATAGAAACGAATCTACGGGTAGGCTGAGGAATACTAAACGAATATAATACACAAGGACATAGAGGGAAGAAGCAACTAATATCGGAATGTCACATGCTACGTATGGGTAGAAACATTAGCGCCAAAGAAATTCTGTTATCGTATACAGTGGTATATCGTTGTTGTTGTTTAATAAATTTCATATTTTAATACAAAGTCTGAAATAAATAATCTCGAAAAACGGCTAAGATAACACCTTGTAATAATGAGAGTCGATAAATTTTTCACGCAGCGTTCAAATTGGCGCCAATGTTGTTAAACCGAATTGGAATGCACGTAAATAAACATCATACTATACATAGATAGGTATCAGGGTGACGTACCCCCATTCGCGTATTGATTCCAATTGTTTAGTACTTAGCTTCTTCGGCTTAAATAGTCTGTCCTTGTGCAAGCTTTATAGAACAAAAAAAATGTTTCATATATCAAAAACTATGGCGACTAGGAAGCTTCGAGTCGCTATTCTTTCTTGTAGTTTAATAACAATGATTTGTTCTTGTGTCTAGTGCAGTGACAATGTTTCTACACAAGATTACGGTAGAGTTAAAGAAAACCTTAGTGAAGCTTAAACACATACAAAAAAAAAAACCAAATACATTCGAATGGTGAATGACATCCTATACTTATAAACGCATAAGTATTAAACGTTTTATATTCCAAGACCAATAATTTTATATTCCATGAGTATATTTATTTACATGATTAAATCTAACTAAATATCATGTTATTTGATGACTGCTGGTTCTTAAAGTTTAAGCAAAACTGTTCAGCGAGGAATTGCAGCTAGCGTTCTTGGCACCATGCCGAGGTTTTTTTTATAACATGGAGTAAAATTCATTTGGATTCAATTTTGTTAATATTTCCTATTCATACAATATATTATATTATGCTGATCTACATCGATGATTTCCAAAGATTATAGAGATATAATGTGAAATAGCATTACGCTTTGTTATTATTTCTTGCGTAATGCGTGTCATACGCAACCTACGAGAGGAATTAATACCTACATGGTAATGTCAATTAATAGTACCATTAAAATGTATGCGGGGACTTTAATTGGAGCTAACAAGCGCAAAGAGCTCTCCCGAAAGCGCTTTGACGCTTTACTATATACGGGCGAGTATTTTTATTTCCTTAAGTACTGACAACGCGTTAGTGGAATACTCACCAGTACAAAGCTCGGGGCTTAGATGCCCATAGCAGACTAGGCTGAAGACTGAGAAAACTAAGGCTTTTGTGTCATTATTATGATCACAAATTGAATAAGGACTGTTTGGGAATTTTAATAACATCATTGTATCGTGGCTCGTAAAATAACAGCACAATTACGGAGAAAAACCGAAGGATAAATCTTTGCGATGCAAAATCGATTGCGTTATGGTGCGTCCATAGGTGGATATCGATTTTATTAATGTTAGAACGAGTTACAATGAATTACAAAAATCTCCCCTACAACACTATCCATTCATACGTAGAGGAACACCCTATCTATTCGGGAAATTTTCTTTTTGCGCCATGGCAACATGGAACAATTTTAGTCACGATCAGACACTTGCAACTCGATAGATGAAATGTATGTTTCCTATTTCGACGATTTTTTTTAATATGTTGTCTAATATTAGCACGCTTGTCCGTAAGCAAATACGGAATAGCGATATTTCCATGCAGTCCTTTTAACATGGTTAACATTCGTCGACAACTAATCCACTGAGACAGCTGTGCCCAAGGATGCTAGCTCCGATATTCCTAGCTGGCGACAAATGTCATAGCCAAGCGCACGAAGCTCTCCAGTAACGCAAAAAAATTGAATAGAGACATCGGACGGTATAAATAGGCGGCCCCGCATGCCGTCCCAGATTAATGCCACCATTTCCTTTCGTCACAAAAGGAACCCCACGATGAAAGGGGAAGGCGATTGGTACGCGTTATTTTATTCACGCAACGTAATCGTTTGACGAGCGTCTGTCTCTTTTTATGTAACACGATGGCAAGCGAGCTGGGGGTTCAGCTGATATTAAGTGATAATAACTGCCGCCCTTGGAACACCAAACCGTAGGGTTGCAAATGTTGTAATCTTTTAATGAAACTTGTCCCATTGTTAGGTCTGTGCTGTTCTTAATGCCGCTACTGTGTAGGATCTGAGTTCACGGCTCTTTTTGAATTGTCCCACACGGGTTCAATGGGATTAAGGTCCGTGCTGCTAAATTAAAAGTCCCGACCACATCGAGATGTTGAACTTGTTAAGTTGCGCGCGGTGGAGCATTGTTTTTCATTAGAATAAAATTTTCGCCTATAGAACAGAGAGCCGTGATAGCTCATTGTCCGGGCGTCCCGCTTTTAATTTAATTCTATTCACTCGACCAAACTGAGTTCAATCCTCGGTGCCAATGAAATTGTTAATTTTAAGTGCTGACTTATCACGTGCTCCGCGGTGAAGGGAATCATCGTGAGGGAAATTATGAAAATCGAGAGGAAATAACGAAAAAAAATGTGAAATCCGACAATCCGCAAGGGGGTTGCATGGTGGACTATGCCCTAATACCCACTGTCAAGAAAAGGCAGCAAGCAGCAGAAATACATAAATATATAGTCTGTTACTTTTATTTACTATAGATACGATGTATGGCAAAACATAAGCCAAAAAATCTGTTATATAGCTGTATCTGACGCCCAACCCTCGCTATCATTACACATTGTGCATTTATGAGGAACTGTCGGTTTTGACAAACCGAGACCTAAACGAAGACAAGGGCCACGGTACTTTTATTCATTCATTCATCGATACGTCATCTCAAATCATTCAGGACCCTCCAAGAGCAACGCCTGCCTCAACGCAACTTTCTTTGTTGTCTGCACTTTGCCCCATTACTTTCCGCAACAATGCCAACTTTTGTGGGGGTTTCATCAACTCTTGTTATTATAAAAATACCTACGCAATTATTCAATTGTTAACGATAATTCAATTCATAGTGATAAAAGAAATTTATAACAATCAATTTAAAACATCACCATATCAACGCGCAAATCTGATGTTTTTTTTGTTATTGAAGTGAAAACTTCACGCGCTTTCCATGAGCTATTTATTAACCTTCTTAAAAAAAGAAGGAGGTTTCTCAATTCGACCTTATATATATATATATATATATATATATATATATATATATATATATATATATATATATATATATATATATATATATATATATTTATGTGTGTTCGTGGATAACTTCGTCGTTTATGAACCGATTTTGATGATTCTTTTTTTGTTTGATATCCCAAGGGTGGTACCATGATAAGGAAACCTGAACCTGATGATGACATCCCTGAGAAATTGACGGCAATCCTCAAATGTTATAGGTTTTAACAATGTTTTTTAGTCTTCGGTTTGAAGTTGGTTTTTTTTTTTGTTAAAAATTATGTATTTGTGTACCTAATATTGTGTATATTATTATATAAGTGTACTTTTTGTTTGAACAAAAAGCTTGAAATTCGCGTCGTCGAATACGCAAAAATTAATTTGTTGTTGGGATATGATATAATGCCTTATTTTGATATTCTTATATGATTTCACTTCTGTTTGCAGTCACTATGAGACTGCCTTTTTTCTTGTTTTATATAAGTAATCTTTAATTTTTTTTTTTATAATAATTCGCCAGTCTTCAATTTTTCATTACAGCAAATCTAAAAACTATGCATATTCATTAAAAATATCCATTTGAAAGGTGCCCTAAAAGATGCAGTTTATCAGTTACCAGCTAAAGTTAGTATAGTTTAATTTAACAATGTGCCGTATCGCGCAGGGCCGTATTTAGAGGTCTGGAGGCCGGGGGCAACAAAGGAGTGAAGGCCCCTTGGCCCCAAATTATTTTCCAAATAAAATGATCATTGTTTTCAGTCGAGTTTTTCAATGAATAATTTATTGTGAAACCAAGTATAGATTCTTTTATTATTTACCGAACAAATATAATCAATGTCTCTATTGTGGGGGCCCCTCTTTTGTGGAGGGTCGGGGCTGTAGTTCCAATTGCCCTCCCCTAAATCGGGCCCTGGTATCGCGTACATACTAATCGTTATGAGTGGATTTCAGTTTTTGTGTCACGAATACCCTCGTGTTACTGTCACCAGTTGGGCTAGCAGACACGACTTTTTATTTGCGTTGCGTACCAGTTTATACCGCCTTCTTTCTCATCGTAGCACAATGGTTAATTTCTTACGTCATTATTTCAATTCAAAAATATGCCATATCTAGTGAATTCACTAGAATTCACATACAAAACAGCAAGCTAAGACAGAAGTTTTAGCTAGCTGATTTGTACTCCTACAAATTGGTATGCATTGCGTTGACAAACATTCATAAGTTTCCCGTTTATAATAATTGGCGAAATTTTAAGTAAGCTTGGACTACGCACCGACCGACAGAGTTCCTCATAAATGCAGAATGTGTATGATCGATATGTCGGACGTGACTACATTGAATTAACGGTTAACGTCTGAGGGCTAGGAGGTCAATGACGCACAAATATGCAGCGCAGATGTCGTAAAACCTCTTTAGATGATAATAAAAAATCTAAATCCAATTATAAGCTTTTGTAATATTAATAATATTAATAATAGTATGGAGGACCGAGCTTTGCTCGTTGTTTTTTGGTAAATCATGTATTTTGGAAATAAAAAAAATAAAAAATAAAGAAAATGATCTGGTATAGAAAAAAAAGTAAAAAAAAGGGTAAATGATCGTGATACGAACCGCGGCCGTCTCTTTTGGGGCCGCCCGATTACCGACCGAGCTATTATAACATTTCTTTTTGCGGCGAAATTTACTGTTATATTCGAATGATATTTTTCATTCCCTGAAAACAGGGATAAAAGGACATTTTCTAAAAATAAAACATAGCTAGATCGATTTTTCGCCCCCAAATCTAGGCATATACTAAATTTTATGAAAATCGCTGGAGCCGTTTTCGAGATTCCGTTTATATATATATACAGCGTGTCGTTACCATCGCGACAATAAATGAACACACGTCTAACGCTACTTGCCAATAATCATAAAAAAAATATTAACGTTAAACAAAATCCATAATTAAAAAAAAATATTTTTCAAACAAACTAATTAAGTAAAAAAGAAACAAAATTTGAAACATCCTATACAACTCGCGCCACAGCGTCGCATTACAAGCCTCTCCTTCTAACTGTATGTTTTTGTCTCTTCTAAATTCATTCAACCCATTCATATGCTTTGTGACCTTTACAAATGAACTTTACGTTACAGTTTTATACGTAAGGTTGTTCTAAAATTCTTTGTTTTGGAAAATTGAATAACTCTGTAAATATTGATGTTTAAAGAATGTTAATGTTTAATACAATTTTAAAAAGGTATCCTCTATATGTGTGTTCATTTATTGTCGCGGTGGTAACGCCACGCTGTATATACATATATATATATATATATATATATATATATATACAAGAATTAAAGGATAAGATGAAAATTTAATCGTTCATGTTGTTCGAAATTACAAATGCAACTAATTTAAAATATTTTCCCGCGCTGTGAAGACAAAGGGATCACAGCGCGTTTAGCCATGAACACGATCGTCATTTTGTTATAAAAATTGTAATATTTTAATTTGCCTATCCTAGCTGCAATATTCTTAGTTTTTGTTATGTTACTTAAACAAGTATTACCGAAAAAAGGACCATAAATTATGATAATCAAAAATTAATTGTACTATCAAAAAGTATTGCGTAAAATAATATCAGAGTAAAATGCTCAGAGGTGATCAAATCTCAGTAGTGTGCAGCAAACACAATTTGTGTAGGTATCATATATGTCAAATTAACTGCCACATATTTGTGACCAATATAAGTTTGGAGACGCTACATGCGGTTTTCATTGGAGAAAACATAGAATACCCTAGGTATCTCAAATCTAGATTTGCACTATTAAGCTCAAACTTCAATCAAGTTTGAATGACAATGGTTGCCCCAAATATTATCCTTACAACAGACAAAGAGCATTATCTTTTAGGCTGTTGCAAGTTATATTATTTAATAAGAAATAATTTTACTATAATTGTGTGTTTGTTAATGTAATCTGATATTAAAGCTTCCTATATTTATGAATGATACTGTAAAATGATATAAAGCATACTAATGTCAGAATGTAGACAGACAGATTTTCCATCACTCACCCCTTTTCCCTGATGGAGTGTAGTTGTTTTGGAGAGAGTGGTTGTGGCTCCACGCCGGCGTCCAAAGCAGCTGCATCAAGCTCATCGCAAGGCGGTGCTATAATGATGTCTGAAGGTTTACAGCCGGTGCCAGTAAATTGAGAGCGTGGAAGAACTGAGAAAAATTGTACAAGAATTTAGTGACAATTGCACTTGAATTAGTGCACTTTAATTAATTTATCATACTTGTTTATTTCACATTCAAAAAATCAATGTAAAGTCCATTTTCTAATTGAAGAAATAACATAATGTCTTTGTCCCCTTTAAAAACATGTCAGTTATGATGGTTTTCTTACATTTTAAATTGACTAAATTTTGAAAACATCTTTAGAAGCTATCACATATTGTTCACTTTTTAATGATCTCTTTTAGGTGGCCTTTATCTTAAAAAGATAATTAGATGTACAATAATTATTTTTTATTTCAGAAATACTCCACTTCAGCAATCATTTTAAACAGAACAACCAGAAAAGAAAAATAGGTACCTATTCAACAGACCATTATTTCCATATTAACACATTTTGATATTGTAGAACAGATGTTATATAACAACCATCAATGTGAATACATTAAAAGTAATGGTGCATTTGAACTATTTTTATTCATGTCAAGAATATGAGACTCACACTCACCTATTGGAAAAGTTTTCCAATGATAGAGGAAGTCCTCGGCAACTTGTTTGATGTTATTGACCAGTTGTTCGACTTCCGGCGGTGCTCCAACTAGCTGCACATCGAAACGCAGCGGTTCACGCTCTGGGGGAGGTGTTTCCAGCAGGAGGGAATTCGGCCGGGACGCTCGTTCCCCTTCGCCCGACATTATATCTCAAGTACTTAGTAGTTTAGAGTACTCAAGTCGCATGTCGCACTAACCGCATAATGATCTCCGGCGTTGCAGTAGGCGGAGAAATCACTTGACACCGACCACTTATTGTTTTATTATTTACAATCATTTGATCAATTTAGCCCGATTGTGATCGGTCACTTTGTCAGTGATATGCTAGTAAGTCTTCTTTAACAGTAACGCCGAGCTATATTTATTAAGGCGTTACGTGCAATCTTTTTTTAAGAGAAACCTTAAGCTAAGCAAGAAAATCAACATTTATTCGGAACCAAGCTATTTTCTATTTTAGCTTGTCTTAACTGTGAATTCTTTCTAGTTTCTTTCATGGCTAAACTAATGGTTGACAAAAATAAAAGTCTCTGTAAGCGCCATCTATTTTTTAAATATAACACTAAAGACAATAAAAGAAAACGGCTTAATAAATTAAAAATCATTTACCTATATCATTAATAAACTAAAAATACTATTACAAAGCCAAGTAAGTTATTTGAATGTTTACGTGTAGCTATCATAAATATATAATAAACATATTGCGCTTATAACATCTGTACTGGCTCGCTTATACATAGCATGGCAACTCAGACATCTGTGGAGTGCTCTTGTCAATGTGGTAATTTCGATCTTGTTTATAAAATATTAGCTTTATTTATGAATTTTGTTTGCATTTAGTAAAAATTAAAGACATTCCAACGTTTCTCTGTGATTTAGTTTTGATACCTCATCAGGCGATAAATTTCAACAACAATACATCTTTTAGCGGCTACAAGGCGACCGTTTAGGGTATGTCCTACATTGCATATAAATTTTGATTGTTATTGATAATTTCCGCTATAGAAGGGCGATCACAACGATTTTTATTTATGTTTAAGTCGATATAATCTTATTCAATATAAGTTTAGGTAAGTTTTTGTTTTATCCCTTCGTTTATTCTGTCTTTTTTATCGTACTGATTATAAACTATTCTCAGGAAATGGAAGCAATGGATATTCAGGCCGTGGAATCAAAATTGAGTGATGTGACGGTGACCGCAATACCCATGAGTGGTAAGAGCATCCACAAGGATGTAGCTCATAGTGGTAACAGCCATGCCACAATATCAACAGTGCCTGCCTCATCACCCTCCTCCACTGGCAAGGACAAAGACAATGGCATGTCCAAATATGCTCAGTTGTTAGCTGTCATTGAAGAAATGGGTAAGGAAGTACGACCCAGTTACTCGGGCAGCCGTAGTTCAGCAGAACGTCTAAAACGTGGTATTGTTCATGCGCGAATTCTTGTGAGGGAGTGCCTCATTGAGACTGAGAGGTCTGCTAGACAGTAATTACCAACTGATCTCACTTTGCAGTCAATTTTTAGAGTACTTCATTTTATAATATCACCAGTTTATAATTTACACTGCCAATGAAAATAATATTCATCAACTTTCAGAGACAGTTCAGGTTACTATGATTGACATTGGTTATCTATTTTTTTATCTCCTTACAGTTAACAACGGCCTTGTTGTCCACAATTTTTTTGAACAAGTATTTTATTCACATGAACCTAAACTGGTCTTCATGCTCAAAAATGTTAATGATAATTAAATATAGATTCAGGACTGACTTGGTGTTGGCTACATTTTATACAAAAAAATACTTGTAGAAACTTACAATAGATTATTAAGAAAAATATCTTTTAATATCATGCATTTCTTTACAAAAATTAAAAATTTTTCTAAACAGTTTTTTATAAAAACTATGTGATACAAAGAAAACGGTATACAAATCAAGAATATTTGTTCTACTGAGCATAAAATTTTGCTGTACTGTAGAGTAATGGATGATTCATTACCAATACTCTACACTGTATAATTACTCAATTCACTGAATAATTAGTCAATAATTACTGTAGAGTCTACAGTAATTATTGAAAACTACAAATTTGATCTGGCCATCTCTTATAAACTTTTTAAGAAAATATGTTTCAAAAAGTGATATTTATGAAAATGTTAGTTAATTTTTTTTTAATAAATGAGAAATATTATTTGAACAAAACAAAATAATCACATCAGCATGCTCTTTAACCAAGAATTATTATTATCTCTTTGCTGTAACTGATTTATTACAAAGAAATACAAATTGTTATTCAGAAAAGTGTAAAATAGTTAATGATGAGATATTTTTCCTTCTACAACCAATGTATCAAATGTTTAAAAAAACATTTTAATAAAGTAAATTGTTAGATTTAACTAAAATGTATTATTCAGGGTACTTAGACATAAAAGTTAATTACCTTTTTATTCTCTCCATTTGTGACAAAGCTTTTTGCATTCATTGATAAAATATGACTGATGTGTTAAATTTTAACACATTTCAGTATGATAAAGATATCCAAAGAATTTTCATTTTAATCTGAAGAGAATTGTTTAGTGAAATCAATCGGTTAATATACCTGATAATAATGTAAGTAGTACTAGAATTGATATACAACATTTGCAGTGTCTTGATATTTAATATCCGTACAACATAGTTAACATGCTGATATGTCCTGAAAGAAAGCAGGCTGTGATTGCAACATTTATTGTGAACATCTACCTCAGACAAAACAAAATATTATTATTAATATTTATAGTGGTTGTTGTTGTAAGCTTAAGCACTGGCAACACTGTTTGGTAATTTAAGTCTTTTGCATAGATCCTAAATAATGATATTAAGAACCTAAACTGGGCTGAGAGGTGAAATATTATCTCTATATGTTTTATAAAAAGGTGTAGTTTCACTAATTCTCCCTCAAAGCCTGGCCTTACTTGCACCATTCTAACAGGTATTTTGTATTATTTATTTTGTAATATAGAAGATGAAAAAAGACATCTTAAGAAATACTTAGCATAATAAACTAGAGTATGGTATGTTTCAACTTTTCACTTCATTCTATAATTACACCAGTCTTAACATTGAAATGTTGTTATTTATAAAATCATTTTCTGCCTAATAACTACATTCTATGATGTCTTTTGATTCTTTGTTGAAGCAATAAAAAAAGGTTGTCTTGATGTACATTTTTTATGTATTCTATATGTTGATTCGCTCAATTACACCATAGAACTTCTGTAGCTTACAATGTCTGGTTTCATGTAGTGTATCTGAGAGTATGTTATCTTCATTTTTAATAATGCACAATATATACTCAATCAATAAGTTGTTTTTGTTTAGTCAGTGATATTATTGTGTGGCTTTTAAAACTACTCATAGTCAGTCTCAAATACTTTAGCTTATATGAAACTATAGTCAATTCTGTGGTTTCACCTCAAGTTAAGATACATGCTTAGATTATAAGTAATAATGTGCTCATTGATTTTTTGGTAAATTTGTTTTATTCAATTAGCGGTAAGTTGTATATAGTTTAGTTTTTAACCAGACTAATCCACCTCAATACCAGCACAGATTCTTCATAGCGTTATCAACAAGATGGGTTTCGCAACGTAAGGGACTCTTACATGTTGGATTTGTATTTAAAGTTAATAAGCGTTAAGTCGCTATGTATACGAGATGTTAACTACCAACGTGCTAGTATAAATGATTATTGTTTATGGTAGATTAGACTATCTGTGGAGACTAAGAAAGTCGCCCATTTAACGCGAAAAGATAAAATACGGATTAAAGTTCGGTCCAACTGCCGCGATGTATACTTGAATAGTTAATAGTTAAACTTAAGAAGTTATGATAAGAAGTAAAATACGTTACCATTAACAAATATAGTACTTACCTAAATGTTATACAGAATATCTTTAAAGTCCATTTCAATCAATATTTTTTATTCATATACACCTGTATTATTTACTTATACAGTATGACAAACTTAATTAAATAATTCACATTTATGCCCCACAGAATTTTTTATTATATTAAAAGCAATTATAGTAATTTGAAAATAATAAGATGATATTTACATATGAATTTGTTATAATAGACTTATTTAATAGATTGAAAGAGTAGTTATAGAGATAAGGGGCATTTAATTTAACAACTTATCCTTCTACCATGAGATCCAAAATGTAATTGCTAAGAAAACGAACCATAAGACAGTACAAATATTAGAAAATTAGTAAATATGTATTGAAATATTAATGTTGAATTTGTAACTTCGGATAATAGAATAAGTATACCATATTTATTCCTGTATGGACTTATTTTTATTATAAATATCATTAATAAATGGGTTTAAAAAGAGTTATTGACTTTTTATTTGCCCTCAATCACTACCTATTTAAGATTAAATGGATTGACATAATAATGTAATCCTTTAAAGGTCAGAAATCATCAAGCTATGTTTTAATGGTTGTCTCTTTGAAACCTTGTCATATATGACTTTGAATAATGATTTTTATTAAGATCGAAATTAAGTGTGCAGGAAGTCGATGGGATGCTTTAGGTTTCTGCTTTGTGGCGGTCTGTGGGGATGACATAGACAGGAGTGGACTCGAATAGGCTGAAATTATGATGATTTAAAATTACAGAACCAACAAGTATCATTTACTTTTTAGTCTTTACTGTTCAAATTTTAAACGGTAAAGACTAAAACGTTAGTTTAAAGCTAATTAATTATCACAGTTACTTTAAAGTTCATTTAATGCAGTGCTACAGTATTTCCTTATTATTTAAGAGGAGCTACTAATAAACTGACCGCCTGTAATCCGGTGAATCGAGTGCTTATTGATTAAAAACGGTTGCCCTGTAGAAATCTGAGATCTTTTTACTTTATGTTGAATGACGATTGTTGATTAATCTTGATAAATTTTATATGTGGTGTTTTGTACGTAATAATTGGGTTGATTATAATTTTTACTTTAATTAAACAACATTGCAAATAAGGGGCCGTGATAGCTCAGTTGGAGGGCGCTCGCTTTAAATTTAATATACTTGAGCAACCTGAGTTCAAACCCTGGTGTCGGCACCATTTAAATATTTAATTTTAAGTGCTGACCGGTACTCTGCTGTGCTCTGCGGTGAAGGAAAAAACGTCGTGATCAAACCTACATATTTTAGAAATAATAACAAAAGATACGTGTACGCCAATCTGCAGTGGGGTCGCTTGGTGGACTATGTACAATATCCTCTGTACGGAGGTGGCATTTGCCCAGCAGTGGAATATATGTAGACAGTTACATTATATTACAAATAAATTAATGGGTCCACCCATTTCTCTGCGTGGTATTTTCTAAAAGAGTATTCCTTTTCAGAATTTTATGGCCGTCACGTGGAAAACTTTGCTTCGATGGAATACGGGCTACAGTGCAGACTCCGTAGAATGGTGTCCATTGGTCCCTTATCAGGATGTGCTAGTTTGCGGAACATACCAGCTCGATAAAAAGGACGAAGGTACACAAAAAGAAACTCGATGGACTTTTACTTTTTTACAGCGATTTTTGTATAGCCCAGAGTAATCCTTAATTCACCATCAATTTTTTCACCTTTCAGTCAGACCAGTCAACGATTCCTTTTAAAGATGCAATAAAAATAAAAATGCACGTTCGAGTTTGACTTAGTCCTCACTGATAACTTTTTCCGTTAATTAAAACTTAGTCTCTGTTTTACAGATCAAGGAGAGAATAATAAGAAACAGACGCGACTCGGTAGAATATATCTGTTCGTAATCGACGAAAATTCTAAGGAGCTTTGCCCCGTTCAAACCATCGACACCGCGGGTGTATTGGACCAGAAATGGTGTTATCATCTCGTCCAGGACTTCCCGGTGTTGGTCGCGGTCACCTCCGAGGGTTATATCCAGCTCTACCGATTACGGAGCGCTGATGGCTCGTTGAAATTGGAGTTGTGGCAGGAAGTTTTGATCGGAGAAAGCGTTCTGGCACTTTCTCTCGATTGGTCTAGTAACAAGAGTGGTTCTGCGGAGCCTATGCTCGTGGTCAGCGATTCTGCGGGTGCTGTGAGGGTGCTGAAGGTCGCCGAAACTGGTTTGAGGGAGATCTTCGCCAGGCAGGCGCATGGATTCGAAGCTTGGGTGGCGTCATTCAATTATTGGAACACAGATGTATTTTATTCGGGTGAGTTTTATTTAAAGTAAAGTAACAGCATGTATATGTATATATTTATTGTACATATATATGTATATGTTTCATTGCTGGGCCTCCTCTGTGCTGAGGGTATTAGGGTATACTGCTCTGTGCGACTCCACTTCGGATGGGCAGACTTCACACGTTTTCCGAAATATGTTTCTAATATTATTTCGATGTTTTTATTCAACGCCAAGCACGTGACTATCCTGCACTTAAAATGTAATTATGGAATTCATTGGCGCCGGCACTAGGAAATGAGCTCAGGTTGCTCCTGCATATTGAATTCCGGAAAAGCGTCCGGATACTGAAATCTTACAGCTCATAGTTTAATTAAAGTGACTTATTTGCATTTTGATAGAGGCCGTGATAGCTCAGTGTGTAAACTCGAACATCTTGAGTTCGAAATCAATGCCGGTGCCGAACGTGCACTAATGACCCTGATGCCGGCACCAATGAAATTGTTGATTTTAAGTGCTAAATTATCACGTGTTCAGCGGTGAAAGAAAACATCGTGAGGAAACCTATATAGATGAAACATATTTTCGAAATAATAATAAAAACAAAATATTTCGAAGATAATTATGTCAAGTCCGCCAATCCGTAGTGAGGACGCATGGTAGACTATGCCCTGATACCCACTGTACAGATGAGGCCTTTACCACGCAGTGGGATATGCATAGGCTGATTCTTTATATACGTGAGATAGAAATGGTGTCCAGACGTAGTTGGGGATAATTATAGCCAAGTTTTTTAAGTCTACGACTCAGGCAGACGCTTTTTGATATTTACTAAGTCCGCATTTGTAACATATGTTTGTGCATAAAGATTAAATAAATAACCTTCTCCAAAATAGAAAGTGATAGTCTCTATCTTTAAAGCCGCTAAATGTTATTTTGCAGTTGAAAGTTTTGTCATAAAATAGATGTTCCTAATAATCTGGATAGATGTGACGCTTTTCCAGGAGGGGATGACTGCCTCTTTAAGGGATACGACAGGAGAGCGCCGGATGCAGTCATCACCAACAAGAGCCACGAAGCTGGTGTTACTGCGATAAGGGGCGATGTGGAGTCTGAACATCGTATTTTGACGGGCAGGTCAGTTGGAGACTGGTACAGCAGTTATGTGTTACCGCTTTTTTCCAGCAGATGATTCCAGAAATTGCCAAGTGGTTTTCTTTCCACAGCTAATGGCTTTAATATATAGCAGTCCAGTCCAGGCGGACTGAAAAAAATACATACATGCTTTCAACTCGATCTTTGTCTATACTTTATTAGAACACCATAAAAAAAGGTTACAGTTATAGTCAACCAACGATAGGTATTTGACCTCGGCTCCATAATACTTACGTCAAAATTCTATCTCCAGTAATCAAATCTACAGTTAGATCGAATATTGATACCGGCCGTAAGTCACTGACGGATGTTTCCCTTCGTCCAGCTATGACGAGAAGGTGCGCCTATGGGATGCGAGGAGCCTCAAGAGTTGCATCTCGGAGACCGAGGTGGGTGGCGGCGTGTGGCGGCTGAAATGGCACCCGAGGGCCAAGGGTGTGGTCTTGGCCGCCTGCATGTACGGCGGCTTCAGGTTGCTGCGTTTAGAGGGGGACGGGGGTATGCGCAGTGAGGGTGCGGGAGGGAGACAGCTGCACGCCGTCTGCGAATATCGGCAGCACGAGAGCATCGCTTACGGCGCCGACTGGAATCACCGAAACGGCCTGGTGGCCACGTGCTCCTTCTACGACTGCAGAATGCACATCGGCGAGATCCTCCTCGAATAAATCGATTCGATGAACTACGTCGTTTGATTTAGCAGAACTGCTCTGTTTTAGTTTTCACCCCTTATTGATGTGAAACATCTATAGCCGCACGTAAAACCGATTTCTTACGTATCGACGCGTCGCCACGCTATATGATGGTATATATATATTGTCTATATGCAGTAGTGTGTACGATTAATTACTCAAATATAAATTAATTGTTAATAATTATATATTAATGATTAATTAATTAAATTAACTTTAATTAATTGTGTGTACTATTACCGAAGTCACTGATTAAACGAATTAAGTATCACGATTTGAAATAAATTCGTAAATTTTTGTATTTGAAAATAAATGTTTATACAATAAATAGTCTGGAAAAAAAATCGTAATATTTTATTTTATCATTGTGACATATTTAGTTCCTATCAAAATCTGTTCTTTTCTGCATATTACTTTTACAAAATAATGTCGATGTTTCACATCTGCCAGGCGTCCCGTGATGGCTCATTTTTAAGACAGTAGCGTTCATTGACTTTACTGCTACTGAAAACTCAAATTTCTACAAAAACAATTGTCCCGCTAAGTTTCTCTCACCGGTTCTTCGCAGATCGGAGGCTTTTCTGTTCCGAATAGAATTTGTAATAAGTTTCCTTGCTCTATATTGAAAAAAAGATACATTGTATTTGAATTCTACGAACTGCGAATTTATCTCCACTAGGGATGCCGAAAAAATATCGATATTTTTAGCCGATACATACGGGATATGCTCCCACTCTCAACTCATTGCCATGCTTGGTGCCAACTTTTGCGTTGTAATCCCCCATAACAACTGTGGAGTAAGTTTTGGAGGCATGTATGGCTGCTGATATCTCCTACTACATAGCCTCTAACCCCATCGTTGGGATGTGTCACGCATATACCTGTATCACCTTCAGCAAATACCGATCGGTGATTCTGAGTATAGGGTACGTTACCCTACTCGACGGACTGTAGAACTTCACTACTTTATGTGGGGCTTACGATAGAGACACTCAACACCACCCTGGTATTATCGGTCTCCTTCCCAAAAGAGCATGTTGCCGGAATCCAGAACTATCGTTTTCTGCCCTTCTCGTCGGACGTCTGATAGCCTCAGTATATTCCATCGCAGCTCTCTCAACTCCTCCTCCAGCTAGATAATCTTCTCGTCAGCCCTGAGCGTGTGGACATTCTGTAACGTGGCATCTTCCGGAGATTCTTAGCAACCCCTGCTCCACCGTTACTTGCCTGCTACCAAGGGCAGGAATAGTGGAGCCGCCGGGAACTGGGGGTGATAAAGAAATTGGGATCCATACAATTGGCCACAGGTTATTTAAAATTGCTCTAATGAAAAAGGCAAAAATCAGTAAAAAAAAAAACTTTAGGATACATAATGAGTAGATCAATAATTTCAAAGTGTCCCTTATTAAGATGTAGTTTAGTGTTTTAGTCGAGAAGATTTAATAATTTCTTCTACACAAAAACTTATAAAACATTTGATTATAGCAAGAAAATAAAACCAACTAGTTGACCTTTTAAACATGTTGTATTTCAATTTGCTTATAATGTCATGATAAATATAATTTATAACAATTACATACTTAATAAAGTATCTGCCGTAAGTGATTTATTACAAAAAAATAAAAAGGAAAAAAGAGAACAGTTCTTAGACCATTTACGATACGAAAGGCTTTGGGATGCTCCTAACACGTTCGTTTAGTTTATCCAATTACGCGCGGCTTCCAATGTACTAATAAAGTTTTTAAAAATACTAAACTGGCCTGATTCCCCCTAATATAAATTTGTACCTTAATATTTGCTAAATACAGTCTGTTTCACTATCCACTGGAATCGAGTAACAGGACCATATACCCGGCGCGTCACACCTCAGAGGTGGACGGCGGCTCGTGGGTCTGCCGACGATTTTGCACCCAACGCACAAGAACATACAGTTCATATTTGAACACAGTGAAACTAGTCGAAGTATTTCTTTCACTTAAGGGAAAACAATCAATTTTAACAATTAAAACGGCTCACTTTGAATGTCTCGCGCGCCTTTCTATATATACATCGATGGATGGAAAAATAATAAATTGGAAAACTACAAATAATGGCGTTCTCTGCTTTGCTATTTTCTTTTAAAGATATTAAAGGTCCCTATCTACATCCGATTACAATAGGATGACATAACTTTGCGTATTGGTCAAACTTAACGATTTATTAAACTCGTCTCTTTTCTAATTGAAACGCACGAAACATTTAAAGCGGCCCAATTATACAATATAAGCGTAAATTTCACGGCACGAGCGACCATCGAATAGAATCTAGAAAATTCGATCACTGGTAATAACTCAGCAATACTCTCGTACAAATGTTGCCTACCCTAACGTTACCAAGATCGGAGACGATTTTTTTTATTTTCAAGAAACGCTATTCGTTTAGACTAGTTCACATTCTAATGGCAACTAAACCGTTGTATTATTCATATGAAATACATATTTGTTTTTTTTTTTGATTTCCCACAACCGTCTCAGACCACCTTCCACTTTTGATACACTGCATCGTTGGATAAACTCAAAAACTGGCGGCGATAGTTGTTCCTGGCGAGAAAGTTTACAATAAATTCACAATAATGTTAAAAAAAAAACAGAATTCAAGACGACGCGGAAATCTAATGGAGTCTCGCACGACCGAGAGGCCCTCGCATAACAACATTTAGTAGGTGACACATCCCACCATTTCTCGGAAAAAATTTAAATAATCTACATTCAACACGCACTACTTGCTCCGCGGAGTACTAGTTACATTTACACTTATCACATCACTAACATCGCTCGAGACGCATGTTAACACGCATGATTTTGTTTACATGCATACACATTTATTGTAAACTTTCAGAGCATTCCGCACCGTTCGAGCCACGAAACATTTACAATACATAAGTCTATGAAATACTGCATGTCATACCTTGGTTGGATTTTTTACATTCACCATACTGGTTCTCCAATGGGGTCTATATTATATTTACACTAAAACTATATTTACACAAACCATTACCGTAAACTGTATACAGTCGCAAACGTATATGTAAAATATCCTGTACATTTAAGTGTAATGTTTCCATAGATTCAGACAACGGCCGCTGAATAAATTAGTTTCAAAATATTAACAAGGTTATTCCATATCTATATTTATCTCATTTTCTACATTTATGTTAATTCGTAAAATATCATCTAAAGGCGATCGACAAGGATCCAACGTGAAATATTCCTCCAGCTCTCCTGTATATACAACATATGAATATGCTATGTGGGATACTATGCCAAAAGTATTTTAATTACAATAATAAAGTTTACTGTGCTAGACTTGTCATTTGTAGTAGAATACAGTTTAGTGGTCAGTGGTCATTTCAGCCAGCTTTTTTCCAATTATGTTGTTCGGAATTAAAAGGATGTTCCAATTTTGTTCAATATTATCTTGATTTGCCTTTTTTTAGATATTCTGGCAGCAGTTCAATAAAAACGATTTTAAAGGATATTGTTTTTAAATTGACGTTTGAATCAATCAACATAGTTATATCATACTAAACACATTTCAGTTATTAGGCATAATGATTTCTTCAGGTTTAAAAATTATTACACATTGTTGTTAAACTAGTAGTTCTCATTTTTGATATTCAAATCATAAATTAAAACTTTCTGCATTCACACAAGTATCACAAATGTTATAATATAATCTCTCTCTGTTTATAATCTCTCATTAATGTCTGAGAAATCTTTGGAGATCATAAAAATCTTTTCAAGTTTTTGCCGGATGTTGCATTGTTCAAGTTGTTGCACCATAAACCAATAGGCAATACAATCTCTAATTAAACATTTTTTTCGTCATTATAAACGGAATTTAAATTTACTTAGTGAAGAAATGTGTATCCAGCATAAGTTGACAGATTTCTTTATAGTTTTTAAAATGATTGACAGTCAAAATCATATATCAAGAGAGCCCTAACAATAAGTTCTTGAGTAGACATAAAAAGTAATCTCGATTGAACAAAAAAAAAATGTTTATGTTCTCATGTTTATAAAACAATTTTGTATGATTGACAGAAATTTACTTGGTTTCTGTGATTCTGTTTGAATAATGCATAAATGATACAGCACATGTAAACAAGTATGACATTGGCTCTTCAAATGCCGATTAGGAGAGGTTTGGTATTCTAGGAGATTCCTTTTTCAGATGCCATTTGAGTATATTTCGTTACGATTTAACGCGTATGGCGCCACGCCAAACGCCCTCGAAACATTGATTTAGATAATCACAGGTCAAATGTTAATTCAATCTATGTTGTCATTAAAAATTAAATAAATATTCCATGATAAAATAACATAGTATCCCTTTGTGATTTTAATGCAAAGCAATCTAATAAAATATAAGCATGGCAACACTTATAGTTGTTCATAAAAAAAGTTTCGATGAAAATTTCAAAATAAGAGTACATCCATGTATAAAATAAAAAAAAAACTTTAAAATACAATATAACATTGTAGTTGAATAAGGGTATTTTATCATTGCTTTATTTCTTGTGCCTTACATACATACACATTTGACTATGCGTTTGACACAATATTATACATCACATAGAAAATATACATGCGTCGGAAGCATGTTACATACAGCCATCGTCTCTATACAATAAGTATGAGTAAGCGTAGTTATTAAGGAGCATTCGACGTAGTCCTATTGTACCCAATAATGTTCCATTTCATCGGCATGTCAGCGTCCGCTTTCTTCATCACCGAATATTCTTACTGCAGCATGATAGTCCAGTGACGTCACACTTCCCGTACAACATTCGCCTGATGCGCTCCAACACCGGTGTGTCCGTGTGCGTCGGCAGCCGTGACGTCAAGTGCCCACGTGACAGCAACGTGCACGTGCACGTGCACGCGGCCGCTGTGCGTTCGTCGCGCGCGGCCACGATTACCGGTTGGGCGCGGCCGCGGCGGAGGGGGCTGGCGCCGGCGGGAGAGGCGGGGCGTGGCGGGGGCACAGCGCGCGGAACTCGTCCTCGAGCAGGCGCCAGTCGGCGTCGGGCGCGCACGGCACGTGGACGCGCGCACGGCACGCCCGCGTCGCGCACACCACAGCCGCGCCCGCCCTGCCGCACGCGACGCACCGCGCCGCCCTCGCAGCCCACACGGCGGGCGCCAGGCCCCAGACGCGCGCGCCCGCCGCCACCACGCCGCCCGCCCACACAGCGCACGCCTCGTGCAGCCACACCTCCGCCCCGCCCGCCATCGCCGGGAAGCGGCGGCGCGACGCCTCGTCCAACGCTCTGCGGTGAAATTCGTGATATTATATTATTACACTAGCGACCCGCCCCAGCTTCGCACGGGTGCAATGCTGTACGTTTGTTTTCAACATCGCATTAGAAATCCCTAAAATTATTAGTGTTTCTCTACTATATTATGCATGAATTATACATGTAAACCTTCCTCTTGAATCACTCTATCTATTGAAGAAAATAGCATCAAAATCCGTTGCGTAGTTTAAAAACTCTAAGCATATATAGGGACAGACAGACAGCGGAATGACTTTGTTTTATACTATGTAGTGAAGACACGCTCGATGCATTATTATTTCAGCCATTCCGTACATCTAATCTAACAATGAATGGATTTTGGTAGATATCTCGATTCGTCTGACGCACATGAGTCACGGCGGATATCTAAGCAAATCTGTTACGGCCAAACGGGACGTATCCGTCGCCCTACAAACGCACCTGAACTCGTCGCAGTCGGTGGGCACCGCGTAGGGGCCGAAGAGGTCGCCGAGGGCGCGCGCGTGCGGCCCGCGCTCGCAGAACGCGCACAGCCACGAGGCGTCGGGCGTGCTCGCGTCGTAGCGCAGCCCCAGCGTGCTGGCGTGCAGGCCGCGCGCGCGCAGCCCGTTGCGCCAGTCGCCGCCGGCCGCCTCCTCCGCCGCGGACGCGTTCACCACCGACACGGACACCGGCGACGCGCACGGGCCCACGATCTGCGAACGCCACCAGTACACCGTGTGCCCCCGTATGCACGGTTTTAACGTAGCGCCGTTGCACTAGTAAACTTCAGAATTCATCTTAAATTCCCCGTTCAGCGACGAATTCCAGAAGGTAATTGTGCTTCAATTACTAAAATTCATACCCATGTGCTCTCCAAAAAATATGTATTAACACTTTAAAAAACTGATAAATATATTGTAAATTGTAAAAGTATTTTCAAAACCTGCTTATGTGAGAAATATAAAAAAAAAATTCTGAACAGCCAATCAATAATGGCTCTGACAAACCTTTTGACTTTACTGGGAAGTGCTTTGCAGGTTTAAGAAACCGGCAACACACGTATCGAACCTGGTTGTGTCATCATATATACACAGTGAGTCACACGTATTAGTGGAACCGCTCGTCCATTAGTAACGTTCACAGGAACTGACGTACGCACACCGACCCACCTGTATGTACGGCCCCCGCGAGCGGCCGGAGCTCGCGTTGCTGCCCGAGTCGTAGGCGTCCTTGACGGCGCTCTCCTTCGGCCGCTTCGCCGCCTCCTGGCCCTTCCGGCGCGGCGTCTTCCTGCGCGCCTCGTCGGCCGAGGCGCGCGCCGCCCTCTTCGCCACCTTCCGCTCGCCCTTCGTGGGCGCCGACTTCCGCCGCTTCTTCGCCTTGGCCGTGCGCGCGCCCCCTGCCCCCGCCCCCGTCGCGGCGGGCGCCTCCTCCTCCAGGCCGGCGAACATCTTCTCCAGCTGGTTCTCGACCTCGACGAAGCTCGCGGCCGTCGGCTCGGCGCTGCCCGGCTCCGCCTCCGGCTCGGCGGGTTTCGCCTGGAATCGTATGGAGGAAGTGTTTTAACCACTAAGGTTATTTCAGCCCAATTGCTTAAAATTTAAAATTGGAATATATTTCGCGTGAATTCTATTAATTGTAAATGCCAAGGAATATTGCTAAGGAACTCTGGAGATGGAATGTTTTAAGCATTTCTATTAAATTACAGTTGACTGTTTCTTGGCAATAGCACTTCTCATACTGCAATAACTAAAGATCAAAAATAATTATGGTGGTAAATAATTATGCTCCGTCAGTTCACACTTAGTCATAGGTTTTAAAAGAAAACAAAAGAACGTAAGGAGTTCTCTGCTTAAGTGGTTATGACATTTTCCAGCATTATGCCCCAAATTCACTCTAAAACACAGTGAATCGAGTTTCACGCGCCAATTTCATGCGCTGTAGCGTGACCACATAACCTGTACCTACAGATGCATTACCTCTGACGGCGACTCGACAGGTACGTTGGTGGACTCCGTGTTCGAGGTCCTGGCGCTCCGCCTCCTGGGTGCCGCGGCCGCCTCCACCGGCGGCGTCTCCGGCTCGGGCTCCTTCTCGGGCTCCGCCTGCGTCTCGGGGCTGGCGAGCACGCTCTTCAGCTTGTCCACCGTGACGGGCGCTTCGGGCTCCGCCGCGGGCGCCGGCTCGGGCTGGCCCCTGGTGCCGGTGGTGCCCGCGATCATGGCCGCGATGTCGTCTATAGTCTCCGCGGAGCCGGAGCGGGTTTTTCTCCTCGTGTGTGGCCGCTCGGGCTGCGACTGCGCCGGCGGGGGGGTGGGCGTGGGCGTGGGTGTGGGAAGTCGGTCGAGCGCGGGGCCGTTGGGCGCGTGGGCGTGGGCGTCGCCGTTCTCGAGGGGCGGGCGCGAGGCGGCGGGCGAGGTGTGCGTGCCGCGCGCCACTAGGGGGGAGGCGCGCGCTGCGTACACGGCCTCGGCGGGCTCTTGGAGCGGCGTGGGCGTGGCGTTGGGTGTGGAAGTGGGCGTGGGCGTGGGTGCGGACGTGGACGTGGGCGTGGGCGTCCGCCCCGGCTCCGACTTCGGCGGGAGTGCGGCGGGCATGCGGATCGTGCGCTCCGGTTTCCGTTTCCGCTTGGAGCCGGGCGGTGCGCCGCAGGAGTCCGCCGAGTCCTGGAATCAGATTAAATAATCATTATGATAGTGTTTGTGTAAGTCCACTGTAGTTCAAATCTTAAAATGTTCGTACGGGCGTTTGCAAGTCAATTGTAGTTTTGAGTAATACACTTCTTTTTCTAGGCGTCATTTTCAACCAGCTACAAAAAGGAAGTTTTCACAATACTCCATTATTCATGAAACAATAAAAAAAATTGCATTGGATTCAGTTTAGCTCTCATGTGGTCCCATGTCAATTTCATTAGTATTGGAGTACATCAGGGGTCTCCCCAAAAAAAAGTATAAAATGTTTAGTGAAAAAATAACGTGAAAAATAGTGAAGTTATTTTTTGTTAGTAAAGATATTATTTATTAAACAAATATAATTTCTTAAACAATTATGATAGAGTTAAAATCATGTTACAGCACGAAGTAAGGCTGACAAACAGCATGTGTAGAACCAGATCTTTTACTACTAGAATTGAAAGCAAAGATAATATTAAAAAAAAATCATCATATCGCCACCGCCGTTGGTGGTCATAACTAAAGGTTCACCTCGTTGGAGGAGGGCGGCGAGGGGGTGTGCGCGGTGCGCGGGTGCACGATGACCGAGTGGGGGGAGGCGGGCGCGGGGGCGGGCGCGAGGGCGGCGGCGGGCGCGGGGGCGAGCCGCTCGAGGAGGGCGTCGACGCGCGCCAGCGGGCCGCGCGCGTGCGGGGCGGCGCGCGCGATCAGGCTGTTGATGGTGGGGGCGTCGCGCACGGAGAGCGCGGGCGCGGGGGCGGGGGCGCCCGCGGCGGCGGCGGCGGCGGGGGCGGGGGCGGGCGAGCCGTTGGCGCCCCGCGGCCCGCCCACCGTCAGGTCGACGCCGCCCCGCGCGTACGCCAGCAGCTCCTCCGCGCGCACCATCTTGTCTGAAATTCAGCGAGAATGCATCGAGGTTAATTTAAAGGTTAGCCTGTATTGTACAAGTAACATGTAATCGTTGTTTATCTTATCGACTGAATGCACGGTAAATAGAAGAAAGAAATAATGAAAGGCACCCACAATATGCGTTCGTAAATTGATATGAATGATGAGATTTCAACTAAATTTTATCATATTCATAACTTGTTAGTTCTTATAAGGATGCTGTTCAATCTTTCAATTCGATGTGAAGTTGGCAAGTGACCAGGTGGTTTTCCTGACCGCTAAGTTTTACCGCCGCTCATGGGCATATACTATATCCGAAGGGTTGTGACATTTTATAAAGTGGGGGTCTACTTTATAAAATGTCTTACTGTAGATTACCCCACTTACTAGACGTAAGTCGACAACCTCACACCAATTCTCAGACGTGGCACTTCCTCCGACGAGCCTGCCCATTCGTGCAACAGCCGAGGCTGCTGCGTGGCATTGTAAAGCATTCTCTATATTAGCGACATTGTAAACAAAATTAGAAGTAGGGTCACCTCTGGCGGGGCCCAAATGGGGGTAGAGCTCTGCAGGAGGTAGTGTTGCGTTTGATTTCACGTCACCCGGTGAGGGAGTGTGCCTGGAATAAGCAAATCACACTTGATTTACAACATGTCGTTAGATTGGTTGTTATAGGATCTAATTTAGATTCCTTGGTTACCATTAATAAATAATTTATTAAATGATAAGATGAAATTAAATAATTATATTGACGACCCGAGTGGCGTAGTTGATAGTGAACCTGTCCCTTGCGCCAGAGGTTGTGGGTTCAATCCCCGCAACTGGAAAAATATTTCCCTATGAAAAAAGTGTATTTCTAGTGTCTGGTGTGTGTTTAATATTTAAAATGTGTTTATTTACAAAAAAAAAAAAAAACAATATAAGTAAGTTTATCAATGCCATAGTGTCCATAGTAAAAGCTTTTCTAAGTTTGGAACTAGATTAGGTTGTGTAAATATGTACTGAAATATTTATTTTAATATTACTGTACTACAAAGCGTTAGAGTAATATTTTTATCCAAATTCAGGTTTGGTTTAAGTTGATGAACAAATGAACCTTAGGCTCATAAGTATTGACTCGGAAACTGACAAAAGAACTTTTCTATTACTTAAAAAAATTATGATAATAATGTCATGCAAGTGCAAGCTCTCAAAAACAAGAACCATTTTCACATACCTTGATCTCCGATTGCATTGTTTTACATTACGGGGGGGAATTTTCAATAATAATGGTATAAAATTATATACAGACAATATTAAAGCTATCAGCATTTGTTTGATTTAACAAAAAAAAAATACTAATACATTCAAGAAATTTTATTTTTTCAATTAAATTTTATTCTTCAATTAAATAAAAAGTATATTTAAATCCAAGAGTGTTATCAATGTCTAAATTTTCCCTTTAAATAGAGCACCCTGATACAAAGATAAATGCATTTGTGTGTTGATTCGTAATGTGCTCATTGGTGAAGAAAAATCTGGAAACATGAAAAAGTCTTCCGATTTGTAGTGCAGAGGTCTGTGCTCAGCAGTGGGAAATATACAGGTTGTAACTTTGACTTAACCATCAATCGAGGTAACCGTCGAAATGGAGACTTTTTTTATATAAGAAGATGGCAAGTGCTTTTTGAAAATTGGGCTCCGGCTACCTCACTCACCACATGAAACACGAACTTCTACTTCACGCTGGTCTTCTGTGAGGTCGTGGTACTTGCCCGGATGGACCTGCCCAATCTTGCGACGGCGAAGATTGCTGCCCTACCGCAGTGTGTGTATAACATGCGTTAACAGATGGACAACTACCTCAACAGATGTTTGTCTGGCGGTGTCGGCGTGTGTCGGTAGAGCTCGGGAGGTGTCGCCGTGTGCCGGAACACCGAGTTGGCGCCCGCGCCTTTCATCGCCTGCAATGGACGTTAGGTCAGATTATAATTATACATCAAACAATAGTAAAATACATACGATTGAACACATTCTTTTCTTTTTACGTGTGAGAAATCCTTTATGGATCCTCTGCCACCGGATGGGAGAGGGGCAGGGGTATGTGCGAATCCCAACAAGAAACGGGTACCCACTAAAAAACCCGCGTTGCACTTGTCTCTGTCGCATCAGCCGGAGATACGGGAACACATACGATTGACCAGGAAAGTTGATGACTCCGTGGCGCAGTTGCCAAGGTATTGGCTTCGGCGTCGGGGGTCGTGGGTTCGATTCCCACACGGGACAACTATTTGTGTGACCCACAGATAGTTGTTTCGCATCTGGGTTGTAACGTTTTTATATAGGATGGTGTATTTAATGATGGGATATTTAATAAAAGATTTATTAGCAGTTAAGAAGTTGTATTCATCCCTTCAGTTTAATGTTACAATCCCTGGACTAGCTCAGATACAATATATTTTAAAATATAGTAATAATAATGAGTTGGGCGCCTTGTCTGTTAGGAACAGACTGTTGTAATAAATACAATCAAGTATCTCAGGGAGTCGTGAGTACATAGGACCTACACATTACTTTGTGCGACCATAAAAGGTTAAATAATTAAATTAATTTGAGATGGTAAAACTTATGCAATTCAATTTAAAAATAAAGTCCAATCAGGTAGTTATTTTAAATCTATGTCACCGCAGAGACATCTGCCCTGTGTGCACAGGTCAGCGTTGAGCTCAGAACCAGTAGAGAAAGTCAGGCCAAGTGTAGTGTGTACAGCCACACTGTTGGGGGTATATAGGAGACCTCCAACTGGAGGTAAAAAACAAAATTCAATCGAGCAGCAGCTCAGACCAGCTTGCCAGCTTGCCAGCACCTATGCCTTCAGCATCCACCACGAGGGATAACAAATCCAGCACAGAGTTTCCCAGACAGCAATCACAAATAATACGACCAGGAACGTGTTCTGATTTCAACCTCTAGCTATGCACAGTCGAAGATAGTGGATCCACAAAAATTAATTTATCCAATGTCAATTCGAACCGGCGGCAATCTCAAATGACAAGTACGACCAAATGAAGTTAACTTTTATATTCGTCCTTTCGAACTGGCAAAGGTTCATATGACATGCAGCCTAGTCTTTAGAAAAACAACAATTTCGACAAAGTGATGAAATCACACGTTACAGGGTGTTTGTCCGCGTGAAATTTATGTTTGTAAAACGTTCTTCACAACACAGGATAATATTATCCTAAAGTAAGGGCAGTGTTTTTCTTCTTTAAAAAAAAAAAAAAAAGTAGTATCCGACAAGGCCGTCAGGGTCGACGTTGATTACAAGGCTTTACACTTTTGACTATCCGTCATTATGTCTGGTTTTTGCGCGCTAAAAAAGGCATTGCCTAATTTTTTTTATTTAAAAGTTGCCAAACGAGCAGGCGGTTCACCTGATGTTAAGTGAATACCGCCGCCCATGGACATGTGCTACACCCGAGGGTTACAGATGCCAAATTTCAAAGGTTGTTTACCTGTGTAAACCTTTTGAAAATTGGGGTCCGGCTACCTCACTCACCAGACGAGACGCAAAAGTATTATACTTCCGCTTTACGCCGGTCTTCTGTGAGGTTGTGGTACTTACCGGGACGAGCCTGCCCATTCGTGCAACAGCCGAGGCTGCTGCGTGGCCCTACCACAGTAAACCTTTGCACTGCGTACCGCGTTCAGTACCTCAAAAGTCAGCCAAAACGGTTCGTGAAAGATACAAGTACAAACCAGTGGCTTTGTTCTAGTCCGTTCGGGTTAGATGTGCGAGCTTATTAACTTGGAGACATCTCCCATCTGTTACTTTGTAGCAATTGATCGCGGTAATTGTAGACCTCAACTCTTAACTTTACGTTAGACCGCTTCGTCCGTTGTTGAAGTTAAGAGTGTTGGGGTTTGCTACCTGATATAGTAATGTTCATACTCTTGAAAATACAAGTCTTATAATATTTACATTAATACATAAATCAAAACCTTAGTGCCCCCTTTTAAAGCTATTAAGTGAAGAAAGCTAAAATTATACAGGTGTCCCAAAATTCAACAATAATTGGGGTGCAAACGGTAGTCCAATTTGTATCTACCACGAAAAAAAAATTATAAAAAAAAATGTACACTTATTTTATTAGAAATGAATATTTTTCGATAAATTTGTAAATTTTACACCGTACTTTATATTTTTAAGCACTGTGACCGCAGATGTGTATTTTTTTGTTCTGTCTCTTGTCTTGTTTTTTTGTTCTATCATATCTCCAGACGAGGGCAAATGGTATTGCCTCCCATTGCCATTACACCTGGGGGGTTTGTAGATGCGCTGCAACTTTACCATTCTTTAAGGAGTATGGCCACCTACTACGTCACTGCACGCACTCAACGCAAAAGTATAAATAAAATCCGCTTCGTCCATTAGCTTTTTTCTTTCTTTTTGCTTTCCGATAGAGAAACTGCTTATGGTTTTTTTTTAGATGTTGCCAATATAAAGGCGTCTGCTTTTGTAAGCGACAAACCGAAAAGGCGAATACAATAGTTCAAGAATCACATGTAAACATTGTACGAATTATTCGTTGAACATTTGATGCTAAGTTCACATCACGTTGGAAGATAAGATAGAAGTTATAATTGTATCTAACGGATATCGTCCGGCGGATCGAGGAAGCAACACCATTGTAGATAAATAAGTCCGCCAGTGTGCGAATTTCCTGCTCAAATTCAATATTTGGTTTGCAATTTTACAACATCCTGGTTAGTAGCATACCCTAACAGCTACAGATTATATATTTCAACTTCATACTACTTACGAGTGATAGATCACAAAAAAAAAAGAAAATGCTGTCGCGTGAAAAGGCGTCAACAAAGTGTCATTACGCTGCCAATGGAAATTCAAAATTTCCGTGGAGTCAGAGGTTGCATTCTCAACCTTATGGTATAGTGGGGGGTCCCGGATACCTGACTTGTCAACAACATGAACATTTCTAGAAGTACTTCCTACTTCCCAGGACGTGTGAGCCCATTGTCGACGCCGCTGTCTCTACTAATTTAATGTACCGTAAAGTTAGACACAATGTAGAAATATGAAATAAATAATTTTCGAATTTATAGTGAGTCAGCTGGTACGATGAAGTAATGTGAGAAAATGAGCAAAGAAAAAAATAATACTTTAAAGCTTTACATGAAAAAAAAAAATGAAAACTATTTGTGCTTCCAAACTTTTGGGCGGTAGGGTAGGTAGACTAGTCAAGGATAGCTTTAGACTAAGAGATTGTAGCCATCAGTTGAGAAAATAATGGTTATCCGGTTACTCCAAGTTAGTTTGCGATGAGTTGTTTCCTTTCGATAAATAAATATATTTTCTTTCTTCTTCCTTGAGCTGATGAGCTGGACCTTTTGGGTTGCTGCGAAGGGCGCAGGACCGTACCTGCAGGGGATCCGGGGGCGAAGGCGCCGGCACGTGGTAGAGGTGAGGCGGCGGCGTCGGTGTGTGCCAAGTGACGCCCCGCTCCGACGCCATGTGGGCCTGCGGGGCCCGCGCCAAGAAATTCGCCACCTGTAACTGAATATCGATTATTGGACGCGATTTCGACGTACGGCTCTTTAGGGGGAACTATGTTATATACAATATATCATCTCTCTGATCTTTTTTAAAATAAAAGAGCAACAGTTCAGTCTCTAGCCGGTGTCTTCTCAACAGAAACCGCCTTCCGAACCGGTGATAACTTACTTACGAACTTATGTATTAATTATTCATGTAATATGCGACGCTTCATAAGTACGCGCAAACGTCTATTGGAATAAAGACGGTTCTCCCGACCGAAAGGTATTACCAGACGCTTACACCGAGGTACAGATGATTGGCCGACAATAAAATAAATTCAAGTGCGATTACGTCACGCAGCGGAGGAAATGCGAAACTGTCGATGCTTCTTATTTAATATTCATAAATTGGGGAAGCAAGGTTCTCGAGTGGCCGCCTCGTATTGGCCATCGCAGTGTAGGACGAACCCTCACTAGATGAAGTGACGACCTGTGCAAATGTGCGGGAAGTCGATGGATGCAGGTGGCTCAAGATCGAACTTCGTGGCAGACTATGGGGGAGGCCTATGTTCAGCGGTGGACTCAGACGGGCTGAAATGATCATGATGTCGATGATGATGATGCAATATTTTACTTAAATTTAATAAATGAAATATTTTTACATAACGTTATCTAGCTAACTAAACCCAATTAACTACTAAACTGGAAAAACACTATGTTCGTCACATAATAATTTTCCAGTAATTGGGATCGAACACACACCCTCTGGCGCAAGAGACAGATAGTAGCGAATAAGTTACCGTATAAGGAATGTTTTCTGAATATGAAACAGTGTCTCATCGTAACACTGGTGGTATACCGTATTGCAATTATTACTTGTAATCTCTGTAGGATTTAGGGATAGTGTTTGGCGAGGAAGCTTGACGCCAGAGGAAAAGTCGCTGCAATCGGTTATGCCCGTCCTGTCCCATTGTAGCCAAGAGGTGTGAGTTTGTTCTTATTTCAATTACACCGATAATATTGTCGATATTATCGGTATAATTAGCCGTATCGATTGATAACGAACTGACTTACACAATAGTTTGCAGTCACAAACAATACACCAGTGGTCTTGTCATACCTTAAACCGGAAGGCACAACAGCACTAAGGCTAAATGCAAAGGTATGGCTAATGAAGTGTGAATACAAATACTTTTACTTCACGACCGCAAAAGCCGGGTCTTGGTTCTTCTGAAACGGTCATATTTATAGCGGAGTTATATTTATTCTTCGCCTTAGATAAATTAACAGAAAGACAGTCCAAATTGATTTCTAGATATACCTACCTATAAATAAACATTGTCTTTAACTAAACACTTTGGCCAGATATCCGGGAAGTAAATTTAACCATTGGTCAATAAGTAGTCAATTCGGGATACTTGCAAAATTGCCAAAGTGAACATGATTTTTTAAATTCTGACTCATATTGTGTGAATACATAACCCTAGAGAGCCATGACAGCTCAGTATCCGGACGCTCGCATTTCAATACACTCAAGCAACTTGAGTTTAAATCCTGGTGCATAACCAATGAAATTGTTATATTTAAGTGCTGACTTATCACGTGCTCAGCGGTGAAGGAAAACATGTTTACCGGAGACCTGCATGTTTTCGAAGTAATAACAAAAAAATATAGAGAAGATATGTGAAGTCCGCCTATCTGCAGTGGGGTCGCGTGGTGCACTATGCCTTAATACCTTCTGTACAAAAGAGGCCTTTGCCCAGCAATGGGGCATATAAAGGCTGTCACTTTATGCAACCCGAGTGGCGCATTAGGATTTTATTTAATTCCCGGAGCCAACACGCACGGGCTCGCTTCGGCGAAAGGTTGTAATTTATCATAGGAAATCGGCAATGAAATCGCGTTAAATGGGGACGCGTGGGCAAATAATTAGTATACATTAAACTCAGCTCGGAGAATTCGTACATATGGTGAAAGCGTATGCCATTTGTTGGTGTGATTTCATATGTTAACATGGTGCCTACAGCACGTCTTAGTCTTAACATACAATTATAATTAAAAAGGACGCTCAAAACCTGTATTAGTATAATATTAGAAATTACAATTCAAGTAACATTCAACCGTTTTTTCAACCGTTCTTTTCCCATTTCCAAAATGACAAAAAACATTGTATCGTTACTTTCGGAGCAAAAAATATTTAAATAATACTAGAATAGGTAAGAAACTTTGTAAAACATGATAACATTTTTAAAATTATAATTTGAATAGAAAAAATAGAAGTGAAATATTTCAAGAGCACTGATACATCTAACTAATTTTATTTATAGTGTTACTATCTTCACTCAAGATGAAACTTAAAATCTGCATTTTAAAAGGTTTTGAAGGTTTTGAAATCGTTCAGAAAATGGCTGACGATATTCAAAATTCGCTTCCTTTACAGCAAGCACACTTCATCAAACGAAATTTTTACATTGAATATTTGAAAACTGGAGATGTCGCCGTTGCTATTGGAATTTAATTTTTAATTCTAGTGCTAGTGGTACTTAAGGTGGAACTTTAAAATGTGTAATGCTGGCAGAGACATTTTTACTACACATTAAAAAAAAACAAAGACTGCTTAAGCTCAATGAGAATATATATTTTTCTTTCACATAGGCACTCCCCTGGATTATATTGTTAATATCTTCTGTCCTGTTTTATCAATAATGAATCCATAACTCACGGATTAAGAGGATAATGCAAAGGCTTATATAACTAAACGATTCATTTACGCAGAAACCTTAAATTATATTTAATTGTATCGATAAATTGAAAAAATAATGATGAACAATTTCCACAATTATTGTAGTCCTGTTTTTAAATTTAATAATATTATGAATAATTTAAGTGAACAACGTGGACAGTAAATAGTCACACAGACATATTTCCATTACAATGGTATCGTGAATATAAACTTCCTTAACTAATGAATTGTTGAATTACTACCTTTGACTATTTAAACATTCATTTATAAAATTATTTAAACATTAATTTATAAATGTGTATTTTGCTAATGAATTTGAAATTTCCTTTTAACTATGGTAGGGCCATAGTTATAAACCATACCATAGTTATTGTATACTAGCTGTTAACCGCGTCTTTGCCCGCGCGTTCAAAGGAAATTAGAAATGAGTTTTTTTTTATTATAAACCAGAATAACTCGCAGATGGTAGAATTTCATCGTACTTCCTTGACACTTATCGTTATATTTTGGATAATTCACACAATATCTTCATATTATTTTTATAAATTATAGCCTATGTGTTATTCTGATGTACCCTTACTAATATTATAAACGCGTAAGTTTGTAAGTATGGATGGATGTTTTTTACTCTTTCACGCAAATACTATTGAATGGATTTTAATGAAACTACAATAATATAGCTTATACATCAGAATAAGACTGGCTATACTTTATATACATATTTTATGTGTATCTGTCTTTCTGTATGAATGTTACGCCTTCAGCCTATTCTACGCAGACGTAGTCGCGGGTAGCAGCTAGTGAGCTATATTATTGTAAAGTTTCATTAAATCAATTCTGTAGTTTTTGCGTGAAAGAGTAACAAACATACATCCGAACATACAAACTTTCGCGTTTATAATATTAGTAAGGATAAGCTTATTTCCAATATTTTGTCAACAAGTGTAATTTGCATACTCCAATTATGATTAGATGTGCGTGGATGTAATTTTTTTAAGGATATGATAAAAAAAGTAACACCTATATATATCCACTGTTGAGCACAGGCCTCCTATGTATAGAGGGTATCAAGACATAGTCCACCACGCGGCCCCACTGCGGATTGGCGGACTTCACATATATTCCAAATACTTGTTTTGTTATTTTCAAAAATATGCAGGTTTCCTCATGATGTTTTCCTTCACCGTTGAGCACGTTACATTTAAATTACGCTCCAATACGTCAATTTTAAACCATTTTAGTAACTTCAATGGTTTTATATAGAAAAAGATCTGAAAAGCTTGATTCGTTAGGTATAAATGCGCTCCGACAGCATGTGCGCACAAAAAGACATAAGTTTTACTAGAAGGCTTAAATATCAGTATTTTATTGCCAGTTTTATATTGGCAAATCCTGTCAACATTAGCGATTGGAAATTGTCAAGGTAATTAACACAGTGAATGTTGGCAAAAGGGGCCTATCAAGGTACTCTATATTGAATCATTGCCCTAGGAACGGTGGCCAAATATAATTAGTTTCCATTAGGTGACCCGCATGCTCGTTTGCCTCCTTTTCCCATAAAAAAAATAATCATTGAATGAAGACGACCCACAGAAGACCGGCGTGAAGTGGAAGTGTTATACGTTTACGTTTCGTCTGGTTAGTGAGGTAGCCGGGGCCACTTTATTATAATGTGGCAACGCAGCTGCAAACCTAAGGGTGTTGCAATGCAAATGTCAATGGGTAGTGTCAATCACTTAACACTTATTTTTTTTTAAAACATTGCCCTTACTTTAGGATAATATTATCCTATGTTGTAAGGACGTTTTACATACATAAATTTCACACGGACAAACATACAGATGCGAAACAACTATCGTTGTCACACAAATAGTTGTCCCGTGTGGGAATCGAACCCACGAACCCGACGCTGAAGCCGATAGATTGGCGACTGCGCCACGGAGTCATCAAAACACTTACGTACACCCTTCTCGCTTGTACAAGTTTCAAATAGTACAAAATAAGTTCATCCACCGCGAAACCGTTGCGCAGTGGTATCAACGCAACGTCGACCTACACAGCGATTGCAGACTCCCGACGATTCGCGAATATTTTAAAGACCTGACCAAACGGTTCTTATTTATTTATACTTTATTGCAACCTTTAAATAAAAAGGATCAGGCAAGGAGTTCCAGAGGAGTGTAGCCTGAACAGTGAAAGAATTACTGAAGAAACTGGTATTATGTGAAAGGATAGTAATCTTTAGATTAGCTGAGGAACGGAGATCTCTTTCATTG